GATGTCACGAGCTTTCAAAGAGTGTGACTCTTGGTTCTCTCAGCTGTGAACTTATTTTGGGCGCGAGGTGGGGGACTCGTACCGTCTCGTACCTCTGTCGGACCCCTCATTTCAATGGCTCCTATTCTTCTGCTTGCCAAACAACATCAGCTCATTAAAAGGCCGGCTGATCTTGTCTTCTTCCATTCATCATGATTGCCGTTCATGACGGACGCCAGACCCATGGCCATATACCATAGACCTCATGACACTTGCCGCATCACTTGCCCCGATCTCAGTTGCCTTACACAGGACATGTACGATACCATATGACTGCTTGACGATCATGTTCAGTCGTGATTCCGAGTACTCTCTGGAAACTCTCTTCAACCACCTCCGAATCCCTTGACACCCTTGCCTCAGCATGGCCATGCATTGGTATCCCCCTGATCCATCCATTCGCTCGAGCGTTCCCAATGGAAACCCCCAGAAGTGCCGAAACGATGTCGCATGATGCCGAGTCTCAACCTCGAAGTGCATGACTTCAATCGTGATCCTTCGACAATTCGCAGCTCTTACCTAAGAAGTGTGCAAGACAATATCATTCCAACTCCACCCTACGAATCACATGGCAAGTCAAGCAATCCACGGACTCGTCAAATTCCCCCGAGTACCATGTCCGACGACTCGCATTGGCATTTCGGCGAAGTATCAATCAAGTTCACTACGCTCCTAACAAAATTCGGAGGAAGAGAGGCTCGAGCGAGCCATCATCGAGTGCAACACTCATATCAGCGGGTCAGCTACTTCAAAGCTCTGGTACTCGACACTCCCTCAGATCAGATCAGATCGGTAAAGGCCGTATATGGTTCTCGAGAGTAATCAAGTGTCTCCCACTGCAGACACAATTGCGCATGTGTCCGTACAGCGAATCAGACGCAGTCTCGGAGAGTCGTCGTCGGGAGTCCGCGGTGCGTCGGGGTACTCTTTGCACGGTGAAGACTACTTCAGTCGTTTGGCCAGAAACGTACCTTTGCCGGCAGAAGCCAAAGTTGACTGTGCCAGCACAACATGGTGCGCTCTGGTCTGCGCCTTCCTGACCTCAATTAAAACACGGTACATTTGGTCGCCGGGACCCTTGACCTGGAAAGAAGATCAGTTCCCTGATTCACTAGACGTTTTCCGTTGTTTTCCAGGCTTCACGATAAGCTCACGGTCCATCATGTCGAAGAGCCTACGCACCATCGGGTTATTTCATGCTTTCAGAATGGTCGCCCTGCCGTTCTGGTCCGACAAACACCACTAAATCACTGCACATTCCCGTTCCCTCCCCAAAGAACTTCACCTTTGATCACGATGGAATTCACTTGATAGACTTTCAACGTGATGCAGAAAAAAGAAGAGTCGCATTTGGGGCTGGCTTCGGTATCGGACCTGCGCCATGCCCAAGGTATTCTGCCTAGTCGACATGATGAATCGCACCAAAGAAATTCTGAGCCGCACCAAAGAAACCTCCTTGAAATCCCGAGCAACACCTATACCGCCAGCCTACTGCATCACGTCCTCGATATCCCCTCCGTCGCCAATGCCTGTATCCCACTGGTCGTTGAAGCCTGGGACGGCATAGGCACCCATACTCTGATCACCCGAGTAATTCTGGTTTGTGTGGAGCTGTTCGACGAGGTCATCACCATGGTCGTAGTGAGAGACCCAGTCGTTGTTGACGAGGAAGCTGTCGAACGGATTGCCTGAGCCTTGGTCGCCACCAAACTGATTGGCCCACGCGAAGGGTGTGGCTYGAGCAGGCATCGATGCTGAACCTGGGCCTGGACCGGGAGCAGGAGCCGACCATTGCGCAAAGCTGTTCCAATGGGCATTGTCGTGGGGAACGGTAGGAGTGCCGATGGTAGAACTCAAGACGTCGAWGCTAGGGTTGCCAGCGGGACTGCCCACAGTGAAGTTCATGCGACGACCGAAATTGATGTCCGGAACGAGCGCATCCATACCGAGGAAATTTGGCGTCTTAGTGAAGTCTTGTTCACCGTGCAAGCGGCCGACCTTGGCTGAAGCTGGCTGCAAAATGCCCACCTGCTCTGCCTGATAGTTCCTCTGTTCCGCCTCTGGGCCGATAGCCTCCTGGAACATCTTCAGGTCGATCGCGTCATCGAACGGCTTCTCTGCCGCATTCAGTACAGAGAAACGCTGCTCGTTCTCGTAATTGATGTCCAATGCTGGCTCGTCGTCCGCGGGAATGTCTGGCTGGTACTCATCGTCTTCGCCGTTGACATCCGCATCACCAAGCATGGACTGGGCGTCCTCGGAAAGAGTTGCTCCCTGCTCGCGATAGTCGATGTGAGTGGACTTGTTGCGTAGGGCACGGTTGGCGTGAACTGGAGCATCAACAGTCGGAATCGGCTTTGGTTCGACATCCTTCTTTGGAGCGAGCTTGAAGGAGTTGCGGATATCGGCGTTAGCCTCCTTGGAGTCTTTGGCGGCTTTCTTCTTCAGCTTGGTGGCAGTGGCAGGGCCATTCTGCTGCTCCTTGTGGGGAGTGAGGATCCCGTTGGAAGGCTCTACACCCTTCGCCTTGGCGACTTCCTTGTTCGACTTCGCGACATGACCACTCTGCTCCCCCTTGCGAGGGGTGAGGATCTGATTGTCTTGACTGTCATGCTTGACGTCTTCCTTGAAGTCCGAATAATTGAAGTTGGACATTCGATCTCTCTTCTTCGCCGGAGTCTCATCCTCCTTCGCCGGAGACTCGTCCTTCTCGACCGGTGACCCATCCTCCAAGACGACCGTGTCCAATATCTTGACTTTTTTGGTATGCTTTCTTGGGGCTTTTGGGGTGTTGGTGGTGGTGGTGGCGGTAGCCCCTGCCTGCTGATCTGGTTCCTCCTTGACTGCCTTGCGCTTTCTGGTGTTCAGCTTGACGATCAAAGAGTGGCCGGCCGGAGCCGGCGACAGCGATGCCTCCTCCCTCAGTTCCTTTGGAACTGCTGGTCCGTAAAGCAAGCTCCGGTGCTTAATCTTGGATGGGATTTTTTCTTTTTTCTCGACGAATTCCTTCTTATCGTCATCTTCTGGCTTGGCCTTGGCCTTGCCCCGTCCACGAGGAGTCTTTGACTCGGGGCGAGATCTCTTCTTCTGGTCTGGAATGGCGTTTGGATCGACAGGGGGATACCGAGTGACCCCCCGACGGGTACCAAAAGCTGATTTTCCCTCGCCTTTCGCCGGCGTGGTCATTCCGGCGGACTCTCTCGCTTCCCTGACTTTGTACAGGTGTTGCTTGATAGCCTCGCCAGTAACCATTTGCGGCATTTTCTCTCCAACGAGGTTCCAGTCTAACTCGACTGCTCCCTCGATGACCACGGCCTCGGTCGCCAGCAGAAGTTGCTGGTCTTCGTCGGCTGTGAATGCAGTCAGTGTGAGAGCATTGAAAGGCAAGGTGGCGTCAACTCACGTCCCCAGCGCATAAGCTTTCGGCCTTTCGCCGACTTTCGCACTATTTTGTGGTTGTTCGCGGCCAGATCTGCAGGCACGGTCAGTTCGCCGTCGCTTTCCATCGTGTTGTTGGAAGTCGTGGTGGATGTGGGTGATGAATGGTGTTGCAGTTGTGTGTGGTGGTGGAGGATGTGTGTGCTGGTGTTGTGTTGGAAGGTAGTGAAGGGTGTGGAGTGTAGAGGGAATGGAGGTGGTGTCCGCGGCGGAGTTCTGTGACAACAGTGGAGCTCGGACCACCAAGCTCACGTCGCCGGCGGAGCGGAGCTAGGCAGCAGCGCTCTGTGGATGACAGGTTACATGCAGGGTCCAGCGGAGCGGAGAATGGCTGAGGAAAGGGATCCGCACATGGCAGGCACGTGGCTAGGCGGCAACGAGGTAGGCACAAGCCTGATCTGGGTGAATGGACAAGCCTCCTGGTTCAAGACAGAGTACTTGACGGTGGCGGAGATCATGGGAGAGGGGACTATTCACAAGGAGGTGGTAGCGGGCATGGGACCGGGGGGGGGGGGGTATGGAAAGTGGGCAGATGTGAACAACGAGCGGCTGCCAAGGGGACTGGATGGATGCAGATGTGCATTGTCGGAGAGTGGAACGTGCCGCCCAGTCGACAGATGGAGCGTGAGCCATGGGGAGAGACTGGAATGGGAAATGGGAAGCTATGTTGAAGGAAGGCAGGAGGGCGAGGTATGCTCAGTGCTCTCGAACCTGGTGAAGGCACTCGGAAGTGACAGGAGATGTTCCGACCGCGAGGCCACCATTGCAGTGCAGGAGCTGCTCGGCGGAGAAGAGGGCTGTTCTGCTGGACGGGATTGAGGAGAGCAGTTAAGTTGGCGCTGTGGGCAATTGTCCTGACGTTGGAGCGTCTCTGAGCTTTTCTGTATTTGAAAGGGGAAGACAGAAGGAAAAGATTCGCACTTGGGTGTGCGAGGCATTGCTCCGGCCGCGGAGAGGTCACGAAAAATGGTGGGCGATTTTAGATGGAGGAAGCGAGTGGAAGGGTGGCGGATTGGCGGAGGGCGGGTTCTTGACGGAGTGGGCGTGCTGAGACATACCTTAAGCAGATGCAAAAAACGGCGCGAACTGTGAAGTTAGCGAACGATGACTTTGCGAGCGGGCGGTGATGGCGGTGATGGCATACCGATAAGCAGAGTTAAAAAACGGCGACAGTCCTCCTATTTTTGTCGCTGGTCAGCKGGCATTCTTTGCCAGTGATTCGAAAGCTGTGATTACTCAGAGCAGGGGCGGCCGACGCAACACCGTCATCACCGAGGAGGAGGTGATGGGGAGCATGGTGTTATGTTGTGCTGAGGAAGAGAAGGGGAGAGCGACGAAGGAATCAAAACAAGTGTGCGAGAATTTGACGTTAGTGAGTGGTATGGTATAGTCATCACTCCGCCGGCCAATGGGCTCCGAATCACCAGGAGAGAGGGAACAGTGCCTCCTTCTGGTATCATTTCTCTGGCTACACAGACCGTACATGCCGGGCACGGCCGCAACGCATAGCAGTGGAGCGGACCGAAGAGAAAGGAGGCGAGGGGCGATGCCACGTCGACCACGCAGAGACACATCGACGCGAAGGAGAATTGTGCGGCACTTCTACTAGAGCTCTGTTTGACTTCACTTGAAGCAGCTGCGTACAAACTGCTCGCTCGTTAGGAAAGGCAAGGCGAATACGGCTGGTTCTGGCAGCATGTCCATTGTCCACGCTATATGCACACGAGAAGCGCAATCAAGGCGAGCGACGACGCGTCTCGCAGCTCGAGAGGCCTTCTTAGGAACGTATGGAAGGTCTGCAAAATACTGAGGACTTTTCACCGTTTCGTTCTGCTATAAGAAGCTCCCTGGTGCAGCGCTGGGCCAGCTGATGAAGGCATTGGATCTTTATGTACGGGCCAGCGGACTACCATCAACTCCCAGATCTTCTATCGTGTACGGCAAAGGCATAAGGACAGTCTGGGTCGCTACTGTCTGATCTACCGCTGGATACCAATGCTATGGTCCACGTTTCGCCTTCCGTCCTTGCAGCCTTTCATCTGCATGCAAGCCCTTCCATACCCCCTCTAGGTCTAGGAAGAACCATGGCCTATCGTTTCATCCCACCGGCGCATCCTCTTCGCTCTTGTAGGTACTGGCAGAGCTTGAATCATCTGCAGACGCGTCTTCACGTCGCGTCGCTCTTCCCTCGAGCTCCCTCTTCTCAGCCAGCTCAAGCTGATGTTCCTCCTCTGCCGTTCCCTCACCCTGTCTGACATTCTCGATCCACTGGCGCCATAGCCGCACCATGAAGCGGTCCTCCTTTCCACCCATTGCGCCCCTTTTGGTGGCTTTGATGTTCGTCGATTCGTGAAAAGGGGTTTGTGGGTTCGACGCGAGCAGATCGTGCAGGCGATATCAGCGGGTGGTATCGAGCGTGTGCGGAGAGTTGTACAGCAGTATTTCAAGAGGRGCGTCGGGAGAGTTGTAGTGTCGTGCGATTTTTTTTTTTGCAAGGCTACGAGGAGAGCCGCAAAGTCTTGAACGCGAAACTGCATGCAAACGACCCAGAAACACGCGATCGATCCAACAATGACCTGCGGAACACGACAGAGCATTGAAGACCTACTTCTGATGGCTGCAAACATCCATCGAGCTAGCAAACGCAAGGCAGAGACTTACAGGTCGGCATGGCAAACCTCCACAGACAAGCAGCCCAACGCGTCAACCCACAATCCGACCGTCAGCCGCACCCACGGCCCTGCTATGACATGCTACGGCGGTTCAGGAAGCTCCAATACACTCGCGAGTCGCGATGTTCGTATGTAATCACTGTGCTGCTGGACACGCTGGGTGACTGCAACGGAGCGCCAGAGACTGATTGGTCAGTCCGATCTCCTTTACTCGTAGCCCCGAAGCAGATAGCGAGGAAAGCTCACACTCAGAATCGCGCCAGAGGGTGTATACGATTTAACCACAATGCCCGATTGCAGCCATCAGATCGCCCAGAGGCATCTCAGCATACCCAGGTGCCAGCGCATACCTCCGAGAACATGATCATCGCTTAACTGGTTTCGAACACATGGAGAGACCACGAAAGCTTGTGCGTGGACGATAGTACAAGAAATGCACAGAGATCGGGACACTCTTGCGTGGCAGGAGTGAAGAGACGTTCAATTGATACAGTTTTGACTTTGGCCAATGTCCGGCGCACCTCCAAGAACGGTCAAGACCATGCCCTGATGGCCAATCAAAGGAAGAGTAGATGTAAGCGCTCTAACATACCAGCTGCTATACATTAGTGCCGCAGAGTACGCCCAGTTCTCGCTGTACTCAGGATCGATGCCAGCGTCTTGGTTCGGGTCTGGTCGCGTTCGTCGAACCGGGCCATAGTGCACTCGATACTCGCGACTAGATCCTACTTTCATTCAGCTCTGATAATTGGCGGACCCTGCGTGGACGTCCTAGGGTCACAGTGGGATAAAATCGTCAGTCGATCGTTCAGGGCCAAGGAGTTGGTTACTATAAAGGTATGGCCCTGAAGCTCACTCAGGAAGGRTGAAACACCATATCAGTGGGCTGCTGGAACGAGGAAAGACTGGAGACATTCCCTGTGAGCACTGAGCTGGAGATTCTCAACCTCGCGTTCACACTTGTCATCGGAGGACTAAAGACTGTAGGTCTATTTGCATATTCAACATTGCGTGAACGCACAAGAATCAGTTCCGGTATTGTGCGTGGCGGCACCTCGGTGGCCTCTTTTCGAAAGTGGCTGATCGATTGAAAAGGCAAGCTCCCATTCTGCTGAACATCGAGAGGGGCTCGCCAGTGCAAGCGGCCGTCTCGAAGGCAGTCTTTGAATCCCAACTTACAGTATAGCCTGGCATTGTCTGCCAGGGCTATTGGTGGTATGCACGCACCGGATGATCCTGCGTTAATGAGCGCTCTTCGCCGTGGAGCCCAACAAGCTCCCGATAGAGGCATGCTCTGGATTGACAGCGGTCTACTGGCTTGCAACCCGGCGTGTGCTCGGTCTGAGATGAGGATCACGATGAAAAGAGAATTCTGAAGAGAAAAGCCAGCTGCGTACAGTATACCTTTGCATTGAGCATGTGTACGCAGTGTCGTTTATTGTGTGGAACGATAAGACATGCTGCATGATCTTGACTAGATACGACATGTAGTACGTTCTAATTTGCCTTGAGCTACATATTATCTTTGCTCCATGTCTCACTCTCTCAGATATTCTGTAGTATCCAAATACGGAGATCATGGCAAATATTGCCTAACTCGGAAGCAATGCGCATTACTTATGCCCGGTTTGCACAAAATTAAGCACGAGCGGGTCTTCCCGCGTACAACTTTTAACATCAAATTCTCGACATCCGTTCTCAACATTCGAACAACACGAAATGGCCGTAGCTCTTGGAAAACGAAAACGCCGCACAGAGGCAGAGAAGCCTAAGAAGGCGGTCGCACGTACGTCAGTGCGCCGGGAGAGTAGCGACTCGAGCGACGGCGAGACGGCAAAAGCTCTCTTTCGTCGCGCATTTGAGGCAAAATTCAAGCCGCTGGAGAAGATCGAGAAACCGGAAGTTCAGCAAGAAGATCTGGAGACAGATGATGATGAAGTTTCCGAATCCGACTGGGATGGAATTGCAGACGAAGGAGCGGTCGAAGTCGTGCGACATGTTCTGCCTGAATTCACCCGCTCAGCTGAGATAGACGGCGGCAAGAAGGCATTTATGGTGAGTGCGAAACGTGAATGTGTTCTCATCTGCTCCATCTAATCTCCCCGAAGTCATCAAAACCGCCCACTCTGGAAGCAGCAGGCTCAAAAGTCCCCCTTCGGAAACTCGCAAAGACGGCAGACCCGGAAGAGACAGGCGTAGAGGCAGACAATATCAAAAATGACCTCGCTCTTCAGCGTCTTCTCAAAGAATCTCATCTACTAGACGCAAACGCAAGCCAGGCTTCGTCCGGACCACAAGGCAAAGGTCGACTAAAAGCGCTGGACATGCGATTTCAAGACCTAGGTGCCAAGACATCCATTCTACAGCAGGAGAAGATGCCACTAGCACATCGCAAAGGTATCGCTGCGAAGAGTGCCAACCGCGAAGCCACTCGGAGAAAGGAAGCCGCCGAGAACGGAGTTATTCTGGAGCGAGCAAAGGCTGTTATCAAGCCGCAACAGCAACAGAGGAGAGAACGAGGCATCGGCGGGCCTGGAGTCGGCAAGTTCAGAGGTGGCACTTTGAAACTCAGTTCAAGCGATGTGAAAGGGATCCAAGGTTCTGGATCTCGCAAGTCTGGAGGTGGCAAGAAGGGGAGAAGATAGAGAGTATCTGGAACGCGGCGTCCGGAACCTACCCTCAGGATAATGTGCTTACGCTGGAGATTCTGTCGCGCTATCACTGGCATTATCCAATACATGCTCGCATGACGATTAGCCTCCCACTGCCACCAAGAATAATGAATCTGTKCCAGCAATCACTCCTTTGGAGGATGAGCAGATTTCCGCGACCGCGAAGACTACGCGCACTTTCATCACATTCATACGATACGAGTTGGGGATGGAGAAGAAAGGTTGACGAGAGTTTTGCCGCCAGCCATTGCGTTTCAAAGCAGCAGCTGACACGTCGCCTTCGTTCCAGGAGGTGCGCGGATTATTGGCACTTCAACATGAGCTACCAAGCGTATGCCAAGAATCTGCGAAGTTATACAAGCGATATCATCAGATTGTGCTGAACGTGGGAGGTTTGCCTGCGCATGTTTGCCACCTGCAAAGCATGCGCGGCCAATGTGCCACAACAAATTCGCCTTCGGTTTCGACTTTGCCTCCATGTGCTACGTGAAGTTCGCCACAAAATTTTCTCTCGGCTGATGYCGTGTCAAGAGCTGCTGACAGTTTGACGATACAGGCTGATCCCTCCTCACCGTGCCGTCAGCAACCTGTCAGATACGGAGACAGTCGCGGGCGGTACTTCAATCACATTTCGAAGCATAGATGGCACAACTGCAATTTGCAATCAAGCGATATGATGTAGACATACAAATATCAACGTTAATCGCGACCTCGAACGCACTCCAATAAACACTACTTTTATTACAAAGCTTTCTTCAAGCGGAAGATCGTCAAAGGTCGGGCTTCGGGCCTTTTGCCAATTGTTCTAGAACTGGCTGGTGCCCTGCAATCGAATCTCCCCGCAACTGCAGACCCGGATTCGGAAACTCTGGCCGACTTTAGCGGGCTTAGGCATTTTAGGCACTTGCGACCAAGTGGAGCTCAGCTTTTCCTGGGACGCCGAGTGTGCAGSACACGGAAGAATTGAGTTCTTCAGATTGGGACAAACATTTCACTGCTCACCGCATTACCTCCCTTTGTCTAACTAATAGCTTCATTATTCTTCCTTCCCATTCAACGATCGTTGCCTTTGCTTTGGGATACAAGTTCCAGCGCAGAACGATCACAATCACATTCCTCGGCCCTTAAAATTTTTGCTTGACAGATCACGAGGCATTGCGCGTACAAGGTACATCCACCAAGTACCTTACCTACACCACACCACACCACACCACACCGGACAGCCGGGACGTCGCGACACATACCTTCTTCCGCAATTCCGGCAGACGTTCCTTCCTATTCCTGTTCGTGACAGGCAGCGCAGACGACGTCACAATCCCTGGACGGTACTCGCGTGGAAGAGAGTGTTGCAAGGTCACGCATCCGTACACCGTTACTCGCCTCGCGGATAAACGTGTGCCTAAGCACCAGCAGTACGTCCGTCAGGTCGTCTCTCCCAGCAGCCAACACAACATACATCCGCAACACGACCAAGACARCCATCATGTTTCCCGTGGACACCATCCCCGCGCACTACTACGAAGAACGTCAAGCCGCCGACCAAGCGAAGCGTCTGGCAAAATTGCAAGAGCAGCAGATCCAGGCACAGGCACAAGCCGCACTAAAGGCCGCACAACCACAAAATCTCACACAAGCTCTTTTGCAGCGACCGCCGCTTTCCCGCCCAGTCTCCAGCAGCGTACTTGGCAACATCTTCCAAGGATTTGTGAAGGCAGCGTCGCAGCAGAATAGTCCCGCCATGTCACCCGTCATGTCGCCCGCTACTACACCCGGCGCKAAGATCATGACGCGCGAGGAGCACGAGGCGTTGATCGCTGAGAAGAAGCGTGATGGAGATATTGTGAGTCGTGAATGATACTTTGCACGCGTCGACGACATTGCTGACATGCGACAGTGTGCTCTACCACATTGGTACCACTAAGACCGCCTTACGAGCGATGCGGACTRGGATTATCAAACTGAATCCTTGTGACGTTCTTCAGCGGACCGTGTTTGGACCGATTCGAGCGCTTCAGCAGGGCGCTATGGCGCAGATCTCGGCGTTTGTGGACATGATAATGAGGCTGGGCGGACAAAAATGCACTTACACGTCTGTTTGGGCGTCGAGGCTTTGCGGGATTGAGTGCTTTCTTGAGCGACGGCGTTCTGGTTGATTGTGTGCGGATGACTTCTTGGCTATGACCTACCCTAATCGCAAAAGCATGACTACGACTGCATGATATTCAGAGACTTGGTCCCTAGTCCATGGCGTGTTCGCCAAGACCGCTCACGCAGTGGTATCCCGAGACCATCCGCCTGATGCCGGTGTGCGCTGACCACGATGCTGGTGACTTCACATCCAAATTCTCCCTCCTTGCAATGCACGCATATGACGCAGGCACTTTGCTGATTGTGCTCTCTAGTGACTCGTCGTCTCGACATTGGGAATTCACCAGTAAGTGCTTGATATTCTCCTACTAGCGTCACAAAAAGTCTTTGCTTTCCACGGTCCAAAATCGGAACCAGCGAGCATGTATTATTCCATATATTCATTACAAAGCGAGTGTATCGTATCTCATAAACCTTCCAGCCCCTGTTCTACAGCACGTCTGCTCCCTCAGCTCATCACTATTACATTCATCTTTTTTATCATGTGCGCATGACCCCTTTCCCCATCTACCAGCAAGGGCACCAAGCCTGCCATCCGGCAGTGCAATAGTTCTGTCCATTCCACTGCCTCTGCGGGTTGCAACCTACGATMACATGAGCATCGAAGCAAGAGAAAATAATCGGGAGTTCGAGAGGAAGGATATGTGCTTACCGCCAGTCCAACACGAGATACTCTGACAAGTGTATCCAGGGTTTGATCCGAGCCACTGGTTGTTGCTCCAAATGAATCCGCTTGGAGAATACCAGCCTCCATTCCGACCATTGTTGTTGAACCAGCCGTTGTTGTTGTTGACCCAACCATTGTTGTTGTTTACCCAGCCGTTGTTGTTGTTCACCCAGCCGTTGTTCACGTTGCCGTTCCCGCTACCGATGTTGCCGATGTTGCCTGTATCGACATTGATACCACCTCCTCCTCCGCTTCCACCTCCGAGAACACCGGACACGAGACCACCAACATCACCAAGGAGGCCACCACCGCCGGCTCCATCGTCATCTCGTGCTGCGAGAGGACTGTCTGCGGCGCGAGCTGCGATCACATTGGGCTAGGATTGCTGTTAGTATATACTGGTCCTTTGATGTGTAGGAAGCGGAGACTTGCGTGTGGGATGGGCTCTGGCATTGGGCCTGCGAGCACAGCGGTGACAGAAGCCAGAGCGGCGACGATGTATGTGAATTGCATCTTTGAGAGGCTGATGGTTGAGAGCGAGGCAGAAGAGTGGAGCTGTTGCTGGAAGCTCTGTGTTGATGAGAGGATTGGGGATGATGGAGAAAGATGAGACAGCGCTTTCCATCTCTTTTATACACATTCCAATGCCCATACTGGCCTCTGTCCTTTCTTTTGGCCTTCGGAAATCTCGGACCCCATTTGTGGTATTTTGGGCAACTACCTCATGACAATGAGGAGAGCTTCTCATCGGCCAACTTTGTTCGACAATCATGACTTCCGAGGCCATGCGAGGCGCAGGGAACCTCAAAACCGTGAATCGATCACTGGGGGTATTCGGAACGCAGCGTATAGCACGTGGGGGCCGTTCCATGCGCCAGGGCCGCCAAGCACGCACTTCTCACGAGGTGAGATMGAGGAACGTTCGTAGCACGAACGATGATCGTCATATTGACATGGTAGAGACATCCGACGAGCAGGGTTCCAAGTGCACGACGTTGCAGAAATAGAACACTCTCTGACAGAGTTCACCGCTTGGTTCATGGATCCCTTGGTCGAACAAGGGGTAGCACGTGTGAAAAAGGCGGAAACATGTGGTCAGACCTGGGATTTGGTATCCGCATCTCCCCTTGACCGTTGACGCCACAGATGCCTGCCGACGGTAGCTTGCAGATCCAACGATTATGAGCGGCACTGCACGTCACCTGGCAGGATCTCCCATACCTTACCCTGCGCATTCAACTGAGGAGACTCCTCCCCTACTGAAGTTCATGATCAGGGGTATCATGCCGACACCGAGCGGCTTGCGCGGACTTTGCATTCGCAAGGATGGACGACTTTAAGGCCTCCATGTGTTAGTAATGCCTGGCGCCGCATTGTGTGGCTCCGGTGCCTTCGTCGATAGAGTATGCAAATGTACAGAAGAAGCAGMGGGTCATGATCCTCAGGAGATCTTGCTTGTGGGTAGTTTTGCCGGTAAGAAGCTCGTAAACTTCGATTTACTCTTCCATTGGCTGCACAAAGAATGAGGTCAACATTGCCTAGATTTCGGTGTCCATCGGACCCGAGAAGATTGGAGAAGAGGTTTTGGACGGCCATCTCTCGCCGACTCTGGGGAGACCTGCTCGATCTTCGTCAGTTCCAGGAAACGTGAATCGATACTACCAAGAACGCGCTTGTCGTATGAGACATATGGCCCGTGAGTTGTGGTCGCTGATCCGGCTCGTATCTTCTCGTTCATACCAGCATGAAATTGTCCTGCAAAGCTCACCCGATGACATAACGGCTTCGACGGTCGGCAGRGATGGGCATGGGGATGGGGACAATCGAGTCGTAACGCGGATGCATGCTGAATAGACGCCTGTGCCGCGGCCACCGCAATCGAGGTGCCAGGTTTATCATGTAAGTCTCTCGAAATGACTTCACTGAGGCTTTGTCGATGGAAAGAGCAGTGTATATCTGAAATATCGCATGGGACTGGAGTGCCCTTTATCAAAGCACGAACGATGGCAACAACAAAGATGCCGCAGTCACAACTCACAGTCTGCTGAGGACCGGAAGAAAGATTCCATGACGTGAAGTCAGCGTTGAAGACGTATCGAACTCACGTCCTAACAACTTCCGCGTAAAGACTCGAATTCTGCTGTAGGGAATGAACCTGTGTAGTTCGCGTGAGCATCTTGGCATGGGTAGATGGAAGCGAAAAGAGGAAATTCGAATTGATCATCGAAAGAGCCACGACCCATTAGTGAGTTCTACGGTGATGTTAGACCAATTATGACGTGTGTGGTCATAGAATGGTAACAAGCGCCTTGCTCTTCGGACTTGCCTAGCCTTCCTGTAGAGCAATAGAGCCGCGGATCAAACAGATCGGAAAGTCCATCACGCTATCCAAAACCACAGTCGCTCCACCAGATTTCGAGGGATTCTGACCGGCCACACCTGCCTGTCAATTTCCGCTTTCCCGCTCCACAGATCCATGTTGTCGAGTCGCACAAGTTTAGTTTTCTTAATCAGCTTGTAACCAAAGACCAGTGCCAAAAAGATTGGTATATCGATGTATGGAGGTACAAACGACTTGGCGGAAAATTTGCCGGGGAAGAAGGCATCGAATCCGTTGAAAAGAGCAATCACGGTACAGAAGCAGGTTCCAAAGTAGGCCAAGAATGGCTGGAGCGGTGCCTTCCAGGGTAGGGATGTCCGCGGAATGCCATTCTGTTCAAGACCGTAGTAGAAGCGAAGGTAGGTGACGCAGATACTACACCATACGATCAGGGTGGATACCGCGGAGAGGTTGGAGAACCAGAAGAATACCTCCGCGCTGGCGTTGGAGACATTGAGGTACGCGATCAGACTGATCAAGGAGGTCGCTGCCACGCAAGCGTATGGCACGTCGAACTTTTCGAAAGTGAACACCTTTGGAGCCTTGCCGTCCAGGGCAGACGCATATAGCACTCTTGTCGAGGCGTAGAAAAATGCGTTTCCGGCACTCCAGGCGGAACTCAATATTACTGCATTCAGGATATGCGGTAGAGCAGGGATGCCACCATTGATAATGGCAATGACGAAAGGACTAGCGGCAGCGCCAGGAGCTCCAGTGTCGATCGCATTGAGAAGTTGCGGATCTTTTGATGAAACACATAGCCCGACCAGGAAGATGGCCCTGAGGGACAGTCAAGCGCTGGCCAGAAGCGATACTGAGATATACTCACAGCACGTAAAAGGTTAAGATGCGCCAGAATACTCTTCGAACTGCCTTGGGAATGTTTCTCCGTGGATCCTGCGCCTCCCCTGCTGCGATCACACACATCTCGCTACCGCCATATGCGAAGGTAGCCTGTACGAAGACTTTGAAGAAGGTCAGGAACCTGCCAAGCCCACCTTCTACGAGGTAGGTATTCATAGGGCTATCAAAGAAGACATCATCAGCTGCGTGTAGCATAGCATTCGATCGTTCGACCGGCATCTTGAGACTCACTCGGGATTCGTCCAGTATCGGAAGCCAATTCGATCACCGCTTGGCGCTCCTCCCAAGTCGATAATCAGCATGAGCAGGATTAGGGCAATTATTGTTAGTATTTTGATGGCACCTGAGAAGCATCGTTAATAGATTTGYCACTATGAAGAGGCCAAAACCGACACCCACCAAAGACAAATTCGGCCTGCAATTCAAATCAGATGCAGTCAGTAGCCTTGTTCTTAAATCAAGTGCTTATACCCATACCTCGCCATAGAAATTGACAGGCGCACAATTGATCAGGATCATGGGGAGTGTAAGAACCGTGATCCATACTCCAGATGGCACGCTATTTGGCCAGTATCCAATTATGATCGTTGCAACAGTGGTTTCTATGGGCACACCAATCGCAAGTTGGTAGTAATAGTTCCATCCAAGCTGGCGTGGATGCATTCAGCCACAATCCTATCGCTCTMACAGCAGTTGCGTACTCACCGCAAACCCCAAAGCAGGGTCAACAAACATTGCGGCATACACGGGCACGGCGCCTGGAATGGGAAGATAGGTGGCCATCTCCCCGAGGGAATTGATGACACAGAACAGGTTGAAGCCTGTGATGGTATATGCAATCCACGCTGACAGAGGGCCGGCTAAAGAGAGCACTTGGCCGCTTCCAACGAAGAGGCCAGTACCGATGGCGCCAGATAACGCAAGGAACTGGATGTGTCTCGACTTGAGCTTTCGATCAAGAGTACCAACGTTGCTATTGGTCATGCTCTGCTTGCTGCGGTCGGTGATGATTTCTGGCTGTGCTTCCACTGCACAGACTTCAAGTCTGTCGGTCCCAGAATACTCCGTTGCCATGATATGGCGATGGACAGTCAGCACTGCAAGCTCGTGATGATGCTGATGATGATGAGTGAAGCGCTGCAGAAGCGTGGGGTTCGAGCCAAGCTCTCATGCGGTGCAACATTAGTGAAGATCATCCCCTCCTTCAGCCGAATCCTCAGATGCTGTGGCTGCTCAGATGTCGTCTCCGAATCGCAGAGGACTGTCAGATCAGACAGGGGCAAGCTAAGGTCATACGCCTGGCTTCATGCTGAACGTGATAGCTCATGTTCAAGAACATCCCAGAAGAGGATAAATTTTCTGCGATCGATGTCGATGTTGTTTTCGAAAGATGGGAGAGAGCCAAAGGGGCGGAGAAGGTGGAGACGGGAGCTAGCAGAGTCGGCCCGGCCCTGGACATCTCCCAGGTCCCCGGAGGCGAGTACATGGACATCGAAAGATTCGTCAACCAGACTTCCAACACTCTGGCAAACAGAGGACACCAGCAACTCCAGAATTCAATCCTACAAAATCCTTGGGACCGACACATATCGAATTCAATCATCTAGAGGTCGGGCTTTGTCATCTAATCGGCGGCAAACCTTTCCAGTCGAGGCAAGAGCGGCCGGTCTAGTCATTAGTTGCATACTACCTTACCTTACCAGAGAGACTTTGGAGCCCCTATAATAGACAGCAGCCTCTCAATGGGTTCCGGGGACGCGAGTGTGAATTACAGCATACTTCCAACATCAAATATCTGGATTAAACTCTTCCGGAACGATCTGCCGTCAGTCATGGAGAGAGCATTCCCTTCCCAGGCTTCGGGCAGGTTGAAGTTCATGATTGCAGGTGACTCGATATCACATGGCTCAGAAGGCGATCACACGTGGCGATACCGTCTGTGGCAGTGGCTCTGYGAAGCTGCTCCCTCAATGATCTCTGAATTTGTGGGCCCATATGCTGGGACTGTCCCTCCGGATCTCCCGCACCCGCCTCAGCCTCCTCGATTTGCCGACGAGCAAGAACCTCCAGAACGAGACATCACAACCGGAGGATATGCACTAGACGTCTCGAGGGACTTTCAAGGGTGGCATTTCGCAAAGTCAGGTCGACAGGTCTTCCAAGCCAAGGATTTGATCGCCGAGCAAGTTCGAATTCACCAACCCGACTGGTTGCTTGTGATGCTCGGGTTCAACGATCTTGGATGGTGCGTTAGTGGGCCAGAGGGAACGCTAGAAAATATGATGACATTCATATCGAATGCTCGGGCAGCAAAGCCAGATTTGAACTTTGCAATCGCCAACGTTCCTCAGCGATCCCCAATCTCAGGCCACCCGGAGCTACCACAATGGACAGCACGGTATAATTCCATGCTGAAAACTGCCATCAACGAGGACCACAAATCATCAGGAAAGTCACAGATTGAGCTGGTGGATATAGAGCAACATTATGGAAACGTCCCCGATCACTGCAAAGGCACCTGCGACGGTCTACATCCCAACTCTCTAGGAGAATACCAGATCGCAAAAGCATTCAGTGCTACACTGAATCAATCATTGAACATCGGAGGCGCCCCGTTGCAAATCCCAAATCACATCCCAGCTCGGCCGATTCACACTCCAAAGAATGTGCGTGCTTGTGGWATGCCATTTGGCATAAGATTCGCTTTCGATCCAGTATATGGAGCGCGAGGCTATGATGTCAGACAGCGATGCGGTGGAGATTGGACAGAAGGATACCAGGGTTCAAACCAGATGGACAACTCATTCACCGGTGCTGGAGTGAAATGGGAATTTCAAGTACGAACTCGTGGTGGAGAAAAGGACGAAGACAAAAGTGAATGGTCTGATGTCGTTTCTGCTCTCGCCCGTCAAGACAACGCTCCTGCCCCGCGAAGTACAGGAGTATACGCAACGATGACTGGATTCGAAGCCACATGGGAACCTCTGGATGGGGGATGGGATGTTGAGAGGTATGCTGTACTTTGGCAAGACAAGACCGTTGGAGGATTCTTGTGTGGGCAAGGAGCTCGTGGAAATACAACGCGCGTGGATGGTCTGGATCCTGGACATCGCTACGAGGTATGGTTGCAGACATGGACTAGTGATGGGCCTGGGATTCCACAGAGCGTTTGTGTATTGGTTGTTGGGAGTGGAGTGTTTTCAAAACCTGGCAGCGGAAAAAAGTGATGTGCATGAAAGTGCAGTCCCTGTACATATATTGGCAAGAACAGTCACGACGAATCCTGCCGCTTTGCAAACTCGAGTCCTCTTCGCCACATTTTGATTAAGATGCGCCCACTCAGTACGTCGCTGGCAATTGGCCAAGTTTTCCGCCATCAATGAGATGGATGCACCCATTGAGAAAGGCACCGGCAGCAGACGCCATATACAATACCGTCCCAGCCATATCAGCCGTGGAGCCCAACCGTGTAGAGGGCTGGAAGCTCTTCGGAAATGCTCCCTCGGTAGAAGGATCCTGCTGGGTCTCACCCCCTTTCGCGATCAAGGATGCGGCGAGATCGCTTGGGAAAAGTCCTGGAGCCAATGCATTYACGCGGATCGAGTAAGGTATTAGCGCTCCGGAGAGATATTTGACCAAGTGAGTGACTGCCGCTTTCGTCAAAGGATAGACTCCTATCGTAGTTGGGTTTCTTAGAAAGCCAGCGACGGAGCTCGTAACGAGAATTTGACTCCTACGACCCGGACAGTTGTTTTGCTTGTTGCCGGCGTCTAAAAGTTCGAGGAATGAGAAGGCTGTGAATGCTACAGCTGTTGTGTTGGTAGAGAAGCCGTCTGTGCCTGTATCAGCTCTCTCTCACACCAATCACATTTGGAAGTGTCAACTTTAACATACTGTTCCAATCTTCGGGTTCTTGCTCAAGACATTTGGCTGCAAATTCCTGCAGGGAGACATCGCTGGAATTGACTCCAATTGGTTTTGGATACGCTCCGCTGTTACAGCAAAGCAGGTTGACAAAGCCGGTYTCGCGTTTCACCTGTTCCGCGACCTTTGCCAGTGATTCTTTCGATGTGACGTCCCCAACAATTGGAATGACATTCCCATAAGGCGATGCATCCCTGGCGGCCTCTTCGAGCTTCTCCTTTCGTCTTCCCACAATATACACCTTGGCAGCTCCATTGTTGGCGAATGCTTTTGTCATCATCAGACCAATTCCTTGAGTTGATCAGATTGTGCCTGGCGTGAGAGTCATGGTGTGAGTTGGCTCGTACCAGTTCCACCTCCAGTAATGACTACAACCATTCCTTCCACGCTGAAGAGCTGGCTTGGATTTACGGTGTTGGGGTCCATCTCGAACGGCACAGTCTATGTGAGAGAATGTTGCAGTCACGTTACGCTGTCGCGGTGATGTGCAAGTCTTGCAATTCGTGTTTGAGGAAAGAAGAGAAGTGTAGAGGTCGAGTGGGAGATTGGTTGTCGTCGGGTTGGATCTAGGGCGATCTTGAACTCCAATGGCAAGGCGACGAGTTTTGTATCAGCTGTCCATAAGGTCATGCTTTCGACCGGAATATCCTTGTCCCTGTGAATCCCGGAAAAGTGTGCTAGGGTGTAATTGTCGCGAGAATACGCTGCAGGTGAGATTGTTCGGTTTCCGAAATGACATAACGTGTACAACGATCTTCTCGGAAAGCCAGCTGCAGGTGTTCGTTGGGTAGATAGGGTAGCTTCTCGCATCATTTGCTGACGCAATCCGAGAGCCGGACGCCTTGCCTGCCCAGGTGCCTAGGCAGGGTCAACGAACAGCTGGCTACCAAGAAGATCGTTGTACACGTTAAGGTAGTTTTCCTGGGTCGAGACTGTGTGTACTATCGATTGTAAATCTGGTGTAACTTTACAGTCGATAAACGCATAGAGAGAGTCTTGACTATGTGCGTCTATAGCATTTTCATAAAATGTGTTACAAGAACTTACGTGCCCGCCGTCGTGGTGCGGTGTCTTGCGAATTAGGGTTAGGGTTGATGTAGTGCATATTGCCTCCATGGAGTAGGCTCAAGTACCTCAATGGTAGGGCATCGACTATGGTCATAGTAGGACAACAGGACCAGTAACATTGAAGGAATATTCTCTCTTTCGTGTTTACTCCGTAACAAAGGCCCGCAATGACAGCTTGAAGGCGCACGGACATTGTTCGATCTACGAACTTCCTCTTCTGGCCTTGCGCGTAACAATCATCCAACGTCCCACGCGACTTGCTTCCAGACACCGAGGGCCCACTCAAACCTCAACATGTCCTTCCATGCCTACAGACATCCGTTTGTATTGCAGTCATAATCATGGCCACATCTATYGTGCCCATTACAACACTCTCCCCGACGTCCGCCCCACCCGCGAATGCCGCCATCCGCGCTGTCGTCACTTTGATCTGGCCGTACTCCTCTAGCACCAAGCAATGTGCACTGCTGCTCGCTGACCCGGATTTCCGCCTACGAAATAAAAAGGGACAGGTCCGGGTCCGCTTCTCGGGCCCTAGCGCGGAAGCTGTTGCGCTTGGAAAGTTGGGAATTGGCGATGAGATCCTGCTGGAGTTGAAGGGCGCAGCGTGGGTGGAAAGCAGTGAAAATGCAGTGCGCACGCCGGGACGGAGCGTGGATGGAGAGCTGGTTTATGAAGGACAAGTGGGAATTCAGAAGACAAATGGGGACTGGATTCGAGCCGATCAAAGCGAGCGGCCGCCGGTTGAAGAGTCAATGCAGACGCCTGTTGCCCGCAATGAAGGAAGGCTAGGTTCGTTGAGATCCAGTGTGGGAACTGTCATTGGTGCTGTTCCGATATATTCCAGCCCGGCTTTTGTGAGGATCTCGCGGCTCTCCGGGGATGGATTTGGGGATGGCTTCGATCCTTTCACTGGAGAGCTTGAAGATCTTGAAGCGGATGGGCCGAGAAAACGGGCGAGGATCTCTTTCGGGGGCACGGGGAAATGGAGGCTCGCGGGAAGGAGTCCTAGTCCAGAGAAAGACGCCCAGGTCGTTCGTGAGGACAGTTACGGGCATCAGACTGATGCTGATGTGGAGATGACGGGACAAACTGCCATCATTCAGGATTCGGTCGATGCAGATGACCGTGGCAAGGCCGACACGCCCCCCGCGTTGGATTTTGCTGCATCTCTTGGAATGGCCCCGCCTGCTCTCTCACGCCTGCATATGCCAGACTTATCCTTCACGTCGCCTACCGAAACACGGGATGGGCCATCAACACCGAATCTCAGACCTGTCCCTTCGTCCACGCTGCCACTGCCTTCGCCATTTCCAATAGAACCTCAAGCAGAAGACCCAGCGACAGCGACTCAGGGAGCAGCCAACTTTTCTGCTGCAGCTTCGATCTCTCAGCCATCACTGACTCTATCGCTATCTCTTCCCGACACAGCAGATCCCGACGATGATGCAAGTCTGATAGATATCTACGCTCACAACGGTGCCACTGATGAAACACATCATGAACACGCACCGCCACCGCACCCAGAATACCTATCCGACACTGAAGAGGATGAAGACATGTACGAGGAGCACATGCGAAACATGCGTGCGGAGGGCTTGCGTGATGAGTATAATTACAACGATGATAATGATAATGATGACCGTAATGACGAGCAGGAAGTTGACGCAGACGATGTGGAAGAGCTCATTGAAGATATGGGAGAGGAGCCAGAAGATAGCTCTGACGAAGATGTACAAGATGGCGAAGCTGAGGGGCGCTCCGCAATGCCCGTAGTCCCCGAAACCAACAATGATCAGAGCGCGAGGCACAAACCAGCTCCAAGTGCCTTGCAACAGATGTCTCTGGCTACCATCCCAGCGCAGATGGGCGAGACCACACAGAATGCAGCACGTCTACCTTCAGGAGACCGAGACGGTGGTAATCCGCTTGCAGATCGGCTGCTTGAATCCACAGCAAAGTTCCCGGCGATGCCATCCGATTCATCAATGACCGTGCCTCAAAAGCGAAAATTCAGCGTGCCGACAATGGCAGCACCGCATACCCCTACAAAGATCTTTGCCGCAACGACTGGCATGGACGGCACCTCTAACACACCACAAATCACGCCACAGTCGGAGCGGGAAAGGATCATGGCGAGGACGTACAGTAGCCTGTTCGGTTTTGCTGATTCGCCGGCACCGTTGCAATCTTTTGCAAAGACGCCCACGCCCGCGCCGAGTGGTGTTGTGGCAGATATGGGAAGAGTGAACACAGGTGCAGGAGTTGTACCGGGCGGTGGGAACGAGACGAAGCAGAGCAGTGACGATGATCCGGGCACAGTAGCGACGACTGAGCCAACGCCAGCTGTATTGCCGCCACGGATTGGCGCTTCAGGCATTGATGAGTCTGATGTCCATGATCTACCATCGTCACCATCTCACGATCCCTTCGAAGTACGATTCAATGCGACAACACAGGACAGTCAAGTCGCACGTGAGACTTCCCCTACCGAGTTGGACGCGCAAGGCATTAATCCCGAGGATGTCACGATGTCARACGCGTCTTCTACGCAGTCAGTCACGCAGCACGATTCCTTTCAAGCTGATGTTGGTGGTGGACGTCCTGCCAGTAGAGAAGCCGCTTCTGCAGCGATTCTCGAGGCAGCGATCGAAGGTGGTGTCGACATGGACGCAGGCAATGCAGCGACGCTGGATGGAGGGAACCATGCTGATGATGATGTTATCATTGCTGACCTCGTAGAAGCTGCCGTGTCGAATGATGCCCTCGCAATCCCGGTGGTGGCGCCATCTGCTTCGCAGATCGAAGTCATTGATCTTGACTCTGGCGGTGAAGAAGAGGAGCTTGATGACGCCTCGCAACACGCACCTCATACATTTCGCGGTGCATCTGCCAGCCCACATAGCGCAATCGATACTCCTGCGTTCCAAGAAACCCCAACGGAAGTTGGTTCTGACGATGAAGACGCCGACTTGAAGCACCAGGAGTCGACAAAACCTCAATCGCCGGCTACTGCTGAACCAGACGGCGTGAAGGCTGTCCAAGATCCGAAGGCAAGAGTGATCTCCGAGACACTGCAAACCCAGGATGCTCAGTCCATACTCCCTGACGAAAATGAGCAAGAGACGACCTTCTTCGCTGAGCAGATGCCGGCACTCGAGGAACCACACACGCCTGCAGTACAGCCCAAGAGCAATCTGTCGTTCAATTACTTCTCCTTCCAGTCCACGACATCTGCAGCGTCTGAGTCATTCGCGGAAGACAGGCAGTCTACCCCGAAAGATGATGCTGCAGAGCGTACAGGCGAAATGCAAGTTATTGAGCTTTTGTCTTCATCTCCAGCKGCGGGAATCGACGACTCACCATCTGCTCATACCGTTGTCGAGCCAGCGGACATCACAGCGCATGCGATGGAAGGTGACGCGCAGAGCACAGATGACGAGAGCTTTTCGCCTGAGCTGTTCAGAAAGCAGCATGCTAGTACCAATGCTCGGACATCCCCTATCGAGGTTGCAGCTGGCGATCAATATGGTCAAATTATTGCGCGGGACGATCAATACACGTCGGAGGCTGAACGAGCCTCAATTGYCGCCAACGACGATGATCAAATAGCGGATGCTGAGGTGTTCTCGCCTGAGGTTTCTCGTGCGCAACATGCCTCACTCGAATCGCCGGAAGTGAAGTCGCACGACATGACCAGTGCTAGAGATGCGCAAAGCATCATAGGCGATTTGAGGCAACACCAATCCGAGCTCCTCGTAGAGATGCACGACGCATCGCCCCCTCCAACACTTCCTCCAAGCCCAGATGACTCGCAGACACAGTGGGAAACGCAATTGGCACCGAGCATTCCACCTTCGCACAACGTGGCTTTCCCGCCCAATCCCCAACCCACACAACCCGACTCTCTCATCAGCGACGCAAAAGTCGTCGTAGAGCCTGCTGAGCCCGCAGCAACGCCGTCTGATCCACCTTCTCGGCACACYCGATCAAGCGTCGATCCCACCGTTGTACAGCCCGCACAGCCGAGACAAATCACACCTGATCCACCATTCAAGAACACTCGATCGAGTGCAGAGCCCACGGCTGATAAGCAGCTCCGCAGCGCGACGCAGAAGACGCCTGCCAGGAGGTCGACGAGGTTATCACAAACTCATAGTCAAATCTCGGAAAAGCTCGTTGACGAGAGGCATACTGAGAGGCAGGAAGGAGAAGACACGATCGCTGTACTGTCCCCACTACAGAAAACGCCAGTCCGAAAAGTTTTCAAGAAGACCTCTAAAGTAGCTGCGAAAGCTGCCGAAATGACCGAGACCGAAGAAGGTCTCCATAAGAGGTCTCCAGCCAAGAAATCCTTCGCCTCTCGACTGGGGAATGTCCCAGAGGTCATCTCGGAGTGGTTTTCGCCCAGGCGTTCGACCCGTCTCCACCCCGACGAGGAGGAAGTAGAGGCAGATATTGCCCAGAAATCTGGACAGCGTGCATTCGTAGGACTTTCGACAGCCATGGGATATTACACGGCACTCTCCAATCTAAGTCAGAGGATTAACAGCCAAGCCCGCGCGGACAACACCGTCGATATCATTGCTATCGTGGCCGATGCGACCAAAGAGCCTGAACGCGCAAAAGCTGGCCCAAAGGACTATTTCACTTTCTTCAAAGTGTGGGACAACAGTCTTGGGACTGATGAGCCTGTCCTTGTGGAAGTCTTACGACCATGGAAGGCTACCCTACCTCTCGCAGAGGTTGGCGATGTCATTTTGCTTAGAGGCTTCTCGGTCAAGTCGCGCAAGCGTCAGCCATATCTGATCTCGTCCGAGGCAAGCGGATGGTGTGTGTGGAGGTACGCGGAACACGAAGGCCTCGGAGCTCGCCAAGGTAAACAGCGAGCGATGAGTTTCTCAGGCATCCGAGAGGAGATCAAAGGTCCGCCGGTAGAGTTGGGACAGGAAGAGCGGGACCGCGTTCAAGRGCTGAAGGAGGCATGGGAAAAGCTGAACGAGGTTTGACTCGTACGGTCGTCTCTACCCTGATAGCCAAACAGTTTATGCATTCATGGACGGTTCTAGCCGATGACAATTAGATAGCAGGCTTACCAACGACCACTGGAACCATCCTCTTATAACTCCATCCCAGTACAGCCCTCATGGCAGACGGAGTGGCCTCCGAGGACTCCCCGGGAGACTGCCGGCTGCATGTAGACGAGGTGGCTATGATCAAACTCAGAAAACATTAGGCCACACGGCGGTCCCACATCTGCAAAGCCATTGGGTATGCGAGGTTACTTTGGATTTGAATCCCGAAGAAGCTATTGCAGTCGAACTCTATCCTTCCCAGCTGCGCTTCGAAGCACCGATTGAACCTTCGGTACAAACCGAGCTCAGGGCGAAAGGCGTTCGCCCAACGAGCTTGCCGGAATATCGTGACCTGGCAAGTTCGGCGCCGAGCTCTGTCATAAAAGTATCGTTTAAATAAGTGCTACCTAACGTAGTCGGTGGCTCATATCAAGAAGCTGTACCGTTCGGCAGGAGATGCGGAGATGCACGATCAAGCACACAGATATTTTCTGCACTGCTCGCGCCGCCTTGCCCTTGTGCTCATGGGTCAGCTCGTAACTAAGAACCTGTGACTACAGAACGCTCCTTCAACATTTTCCATTGGTGGGACGTGACGGAGATTATGTAACGATTTCTTGCCGACTTAACCTTTATGGCGAACTACTTGGCACCTGCAGGCAGGTGTAGTTTGCGACCTTGCTGAAGATGGCCATTAGAAGGGCACTCCCTCTGCGCTGGGCCGACCCACACGCAAGGCAAGGCAGGCCCATCGACTGATGATTCCAGTGATGGCCTTCGCTTGTCGGGGCCTCGTGACCCCGGTTGCACCACAGGAAGCACCCGAGATCGGCTTTCGCCAATTTGTATGGCGGGGAAGTTCTGGCGTGATGTCGACGAGCACGGGGCTAAAACTGGCATCGGCCTTCACACCCTTCTCCTGCTCTCCACATCGACAAATCCAAGGTCTGATGTCACACCGCGCGAGCATGACCGGCAACGACTCGTCCTGATGGACCGAATGGAGCCTGCTGGGCCGTTTGTAAGAACCTCTGGCGCGCTACCGAGCATAGACTCCTTGCCATAACGTAAAACGCGAGCACGTTGTCCGCTGGCCTTGCCGTTGGTGTGGCCTGGCGCAAAGCACTTTTTTTTCCCTCCTCGCAGAATCATCGATTTCCAGCGTCGCCCTGTGCTGATCGCGGCAATAAACTTCTCCATCAACCTACCTACAGCTCGGAACAAGCGTTTGAATCATTCATCAATCGCCACCAGCCGTCTTGCAGCAAACAGAAGGCCACACCCAGCGCGGCGGTGAGCAACGTTGGCCGCCACGCATACCCGCCGACCTCTGGCAGGCATTCACCCAAACGCGCGCGCCTTCCGAACCTCTCATAATCCACGTTGCCATTGCAACTGCAGGTAGACGGTCCTGATCCCCGTGCATGAGTTCGCCGGGCACCTCTACGGGAGCCTAGCCGCTCAGACTACTCCTACTACGTTTAAGCAGACACTCCACCACATCCGCCGCTCCACGACCTCCTTGCACTTAAGATTCAGCAGTACCGGCGTGCTCCCGTCTGCTACCGCTGCCGCTCCGGGACGTGCCTGACCCAGCGATTGTCTACCCCGCAGCTGTTGTCTTCGCAGAATCTTTCTTCGATCCCGTGGTCGCGGTCGTTGAAGAAAGCAACCAAGCCGACACTGCCATTCCAATCCCTCCCGACCAGGTACCGCTGCTGCTGCCCATGCGGCTCTTGTAATGCCACCGAAAACCGTCGCTACAATCAACTCTACGGGCAGACAGGCCGCTTCTTTCATCCGAGCTGCGTCTGCCGTCGGATGGCATGTTCGTGCTCAAGTCCGACAAAATGAGGGCCTAGTGGCCGAGGAGCTCTTCGGTCTGGACAAYGTCGAATTGATCGAAGGTGACCTTACCGGACCTAATCGAAATCAACTCCTCGCTCGCCTCTTCACCGGAGCCAAGATTGCTTTCATCAATACTACGCACTGGGGAGATGAGGTTGCCATTGGAAAAGCTTGTGCCGATGCCGCCAAGAAAGCTGGTATAGGCCATTACATCTACTCCAGCATGCCGGACCACTCTTCTTTTGACCAAGATTGGAAAGCGCTGCCAATGTGGATGACCAAGTTTGCAATCGAGAACTATGTGAGACAGATTGGCATTCCTGCTACCTTTGTTTACACCGGAGTGAGTGAATGTGCGAAGGGTGAATCGACAACCGCTAAAATTATTGTTCTAGATTTACAACAACAATTTCACAAGTCTACCGTACCCTTTATTCCAGATGGAGCTACAAGACGATGGAAGCTTCGTATGGCAGGCGCCCTTCCACCCAAATGATCCCTTACCTTGGCTGGATGCAGAGCATGATGTCGGACCAGCGCTGCTGCAGATTTTCAAAATGGGTGCAAATCACTGGAAAGGACAGAGGTAGGGCCTGTGATCGATGCATGTCGATTTTGGCACATGCTGATGCGTTCGTAGGGTAACATTGGCGTTCGAGAAGCTATCGCCGGTCCAAGCATGTGCTCGATTCTCGCGGGGTGTTGGAAGACCTGTTAACTATGTTCACGGCCCAATCAATATCGATGTCAACATCCCGAGCGGGTATCGAGAWCATCTTGAGATTCTACAAGAGACTCTGGGAACAAAGCGTGCGCCATACTTTGGCCCAGATTTGGAGTATCCAAAGGAAGGACGAGGCATATGGGAAGGACATCGTGGCCTTGAAGAGTACGCACGCGAAGTTTTCCCTATCGAGGAGTACGCGAATGGTCTAAGATGGATGGAAGAAGGACGAAGTACTGGTCCTGGAACACCCAGCGTGATGGACGAAGACGAGCGGCTCACCGATGGCACACCCATGACACCGGCATTCGTTGCGCCCCTCCACATCTCCGGCGCATTAGCGCCAAGTTCACATCCCGGTGAGTCCCTCATGGCAGAAGGCATATGGGCGGTCCGACCATGGAATGCTTCAGGCCGTGGACCAACCACTTTGACCTTGTCTAAAATGTAGCTAACGTTTTCGTTCTCGACTTTAGAAGGATTGCAAGGAAACTTCTTCGTCGGGTCATGCTGATCAATCGGCATCGCTCAAATACTCGCCGCAACAGCGAACCATTACTAGGCCATGTGCAACACAGAACTTGAAGGACCACAAAAAGTTGGAACTAACGACTTCGATGACGACGAAAAGTTTCCCGCTTTTGTTTGCAGCATTTACAGGGGCATGGCGGAATGGAGGGCATCATCATTGAAACAGTGGGGTGGCATTGCGGGTCTGAGGCAGGTTCGGGTGGATATCGTCTACAATCCTATGGCGTAGGCGTTTTGCTTTACGAGTCGGAACGCAATACCCTTTTGGACGATGATAGCGAACAGATCAACAGAATGACCCGAACGCTGCATGGAGAACAGCGGTCTGCATGTGGATATCAAGAACAAATTTTGGTGGTTATCATGTGGGTCGGCAATCTTACAGCTATCTCATGTGCATGTGCAGACGGCGGTCGCCCACGGGCCACACACCCCGGAAATTCTCCAGATATTTTGCAGATCCGCCAAGCTGACGGACTGCACCAATTCATCCGCAAGATGTGAGAAATCAAGATAGGAGCTGCGCAGTATCTACGCGAGGCGGGGAGCATGCGATCATTTCTTCTGCTTCTTGGCCGGCGGTCCGCTATCGCTCACCCGCTTCTTCTTCTTCGAATCATCGACGAGGGCACGAATGTCCACTGGCTCACTCTCGTCATCTTCCTCGTCATCGTCCTCGAATTCAACATCGCTCATGTCGCCTAGTTCTTGGGCTTGGGAGAAGAACTTGATTGCGTTAGGCCAAATGTCCTCGGCAATAGTGATGGCGAGGTGTTCGCCAGCTTCGTGGACTTCCACCTCGGAGTCACCGTAATCTTCATCCTCTTCATCCTTTTCATCCTCGGGCTCATCGATCTTTTCGCCGCGCTGACGTGCCGCACGCTTCTCTCTGTGCGCCTGGTTTGCCTTCTCGGACTCTTCTTTGCTCACCCACCTTCCGCTAGAGACCCAGCCGAAAAAGGTGAAGAACGAAGTGTTCGCACCGCTGAGATTCTCCACCTTCTCCTTCAGCGCAGTGTACTCAGGCAGACCCTTTCCGGCCATATCTCCCGTCTTCTTCCGTGCCTCCCACAGCGCAACGGCACCATCTGTGAGACCTTCCGTCAAATCCTTGCCCTTCTTCCAGTTGATCTTGACCGGCTCAGAGACCAAGTTTGCCTCATCGTCACTGGAGCGTCGATACCAGAACGTCTTGCTGAGATGTGTGTCTTCGAAATCGTCGTTTGGCTTGAACTCGAAATCGATTGTGAAGCTCCGAGGTGAGCCCTTGGGGTCGTCGATCTCAGGCCTTGTAACTTTGATACTGAGTAGACTTTCGGCGAAGATACGGGAATCTTGAGCTTGAATGTAGCCGTCGACTTCCATGGGAGCTTGCTCAAAGACAAGAGGCCAGAAGTTCTCAATCTTCTTCAACGTCTCTTCGCGTTTCGCATAGGCTGGCTGGCTTAACTTGTACTGCTGGCGCACTGTGGACATTAGCCATGATTTCGCATTGACAATCGGTTCATAGCGAGCTCACAGATTTCCGTGTCAATATCCTCGAATTCCTCCTCGATCAAGGCGAGGTCCTCATAGGAGACGGTGGAGACTTCTTCGGCCATGATGAATGTGTTTTGATGAGTTGATGCGATGCTAACAGGACCCAACAATTGGCTGTATGTGTGAGAAGGGAGAGTGCCAATGCTAATAGAAMTTTTTCTTGACAAAGCTCTCGGATCACATTGGTGTCCGGGGCCCTCACGTCACTGCCGCTGCAGGGTTCTCCCGCAGATCGTGGAGAAAGCAGGCATGGGCTTGTCCATCACATCAAAGCTCCAACAACCAACACCAACACCATTATTATCATCATCACCATCTCATCGAGAGACGACTCGTCCATCACGCATCGAGAATTAGCACCGGTAACAACATCATCGTCGTCACCAAAAGTCGACTGAAATCACAAGAGAAATGACGACATTGGACATGATCGAGACGAGCAGCAAGAAGGCCGCCTGCTGGAGACACCAGGATTGTCGCTCTTGCACCCACGAGAAACATGGTTGCGGCTGGTGTCCGACGTCGGAAGCATGCGTGCCAGCTTCATCTTTGCTCGAGCCAGTGTCCAACAAGGACATATGCCCGCTCTCATCCGAGCGTTTTGAGCTACGTACCAAGGCACTTGGCTGCGGCTGCTCTACTACGACTCTGCTCTCGGTCATTGTCACCGTCTTCGCCACCATTGCCGCTTTGATATTGCTCTTCGGACTGATTGAAGCTATTGCTGGTGTCAATCCTTTCCTCGGTACTGGACAAGCTGCCGGTTGGGAGGTCAAGGTAGAGGATAATGGCGTCCGCAAGGGTCGCATGTGGAGGCGAGGTGGGCTGCGGAAGTGGTTTGCATCTTGGAGGAGCCCGGATTTGGCTCACCACAGTGAGCAGGAAGAGCGCACCGAGCGCACGAGACTCCTGGGATGATTCGAATGACGACTCGATGAACGACAGAAAATAGTGCCAAGTTGCAGAGCCCACAGCGAGGGCTTGGAGGGCGAGAATGCTTCCACTCGCCTGAGAGTCACATGCTCTCGCCATAATTTAGGGAAGGAGGTCACATACATACACATGGGTAACGAGGATCGTAAGCTGAAATAACACGACAGAACATCATGCAAGTCCATGAACTACCTGCCGATGTATTTGAGCTCGAGGTATCGCGCCGGAATGTAGGTCACAAGAGTCACTGCAAAGCACAGTTGGTTCGAAACATCCCCACCGGACGTACCAATCTGCTTCGCGATCTCCCCAACATACTGGAAGAGATGGAGTTAGTACGTGATGCGCAGACGGCACACTGGGAAGCCACTTACCCAAGTCTGCACCATGCCCATGATCCAGACCACGACCCCCAGAAGGAACGCTGTGAGACCCGCGATTCCAACTGGCAGTCTCCGAGGATCGTTCCAGCCCTCGAGATCGTAGTTGGAAAACTTTCCTCCCCGGAAGAGGTAGTGCTCAGTGAAGACTATAACGGCATATGATGTACACCAGTAGCCGAGCAGGGACAGGAAATTCTGCAAGTATGCCAGCAGGTTGTTTCTCCCCGCCAGTGCAATGGCGACGATTACACCAAAGCAGAGGATAGTCCAGATGAATCGCGGGACTCGCGAGAATGGTCTCGAAAACTGCTGGCAGGAAAGCGCAGCGGAGTAGGTGTTGAGGATGTTCCTTCACATCTTGTTATCAGCAATCATCACGAATGTGCATGCATATCCATGACTTACATATTTATGCCGGAGAGAACCAAAAGAACCAGGATGAGCTGCGCAAACCCTCGAGGATACAACATATCTTTAATCAGATACCCCAGGCCTTGGTTCTCGTACGAGTCCTTCCAATCRACTCTGTTGTTGAAGGCAGAAGAGACGACACAGCCAGCCATCATTCCAATACTGGTAGGGAGAGCGATCCCAAAGGTCGTCATAAGAAAGACTTTCGTTCTGCTGACATCGACTGCGTAGTGTACGTAGTAGTCTGATGCAATGGTCGCCCAGCTTGCGGAGGATCCGTAAACGATGGCGAGAAGGCTCAAGACACTGCCACTTAGGTCGGCTCCTTTCAAAGACGACTCTGTGGTGTTATCTGCATACTGACCCGTCTGGCCGAAGATGACCAAAAAGATGATGAAGTATACCAGCCAAGCATATCTAAGCGTGGACGGTAAGCATGTGTCTCTTAATTTCACAATGTTTTGGAGGAGTATGGAGGCTTCGAAAAAGACAAGCTCTATGCCTTCCATACTTCAGATTAACATACTTCTCATAGATCAGAATCGCTCGCAGGCCCAGAAAGCTGATGAGCTGTAGCGGTCGTCAGTAGCCTCACGCAAGAATGATTCCTGGCGGTACGCACCAAGCTGCAGACAGCAATCACAACAATACCAACAGCAATCGAAACGCGACCATTCGACACAGCAGTTAGTGCGAGTCCGCCAGTTATACACCCAACTGCACTCCAACCAATCTGCTGAATAGTGTTGAGTGCCGCAATGATCTTATTCGGATACCAACCCATGGAGTATCGCCCAATTGAGATTTGCCGCAGACCAGTGGCCGGTCCCAGTGTCGCACAGAAGCCTGGTAGTGATGCACCCAACAGAGATCCGAATATGACAACAAGAATGCTCTGCTTCAGAGAGAGGCCAAATGCCCACCCAAGGAAGCCCGTTGCAAAACAACTGACGTTCATGGTCCCACTTGCCCACAGCAACGCCATATTCAACTGTGAATGCCACGGAACATGCTTCCTATCGCCAGGTAATTTCCTATCGATAGCTTCAGACTCCACGCCAAGTTTTCTATCCAAAAGAGCTTCTAGATGTCGTAATTTGGCCAGAATACCAGTCTCTTCGCGCACAGACGTATGTTGGGTGGAATTCCACTCTATCGAAGTTCCACGTGAATGAACATTAATCGTCGTAGAAGCCAGCTTTTCGTCAGTCGTAAGAGGCCGTCGCGGCCGTTCCGGTATGGAAGTAATGAGCTCCTCTGGCTCGCCAAGCTGCCTCTCCTCGTCCCACGCCATCTTCACCAAATCAGAATATGGTGGGTTTCGGTGTGGTGCGTCAAGTGAAGTGTAAGAAAAGAAGAACCACTCCGAGGGCGGCGGGCCGCGAAACCACTTTCACTTTAGTTTATGCCTAGTGCAGAATAACCGCCGTTGCCCAACAGGCAGTAGCGGGCACTTGTACAGCCTAGGCCTCGGGGCCAAATCACAGAAGCAAGACTATGCTCCGCCAGTGGAAGCAGGGAAGAGGGATGTAATATTATACATACAGTATGAAGCTACCTTTTGACATGGCCCGTTGGGTTTGACTCGTGTGAACATCTCTACGCGACGTCGCTCCATATAATCACACATCAGGTTTAGGAGGCTTTTCAATCCGTGAACCAGAGGTTCGCACGAGTCAAGTGAACGCTATCTTAACAAGGCCTTTGGACAGGGATTCTGCATATGCAACACGTATGCAACGGACACTTCTTATTTGGATCTGTTCGATGATGCAAATTCAGTGGATGCGATATGTGCGTACTATTCCATTAACCAGCAAGCACGATCCACTCCAATGGTGGTCTGTTGCGAGGCCACCTTCCTTCGTTTCCAAAAGGGTCGACAATCGCTGCGATGCATCAAGGTGCTGAGTAACCTGCCTATCAACTCTGCCGCCCAAACAACATGGGTATCGTTAAGAGAACACTGTACAAGCTAGCCTTGACAGGACAAATAAGTAGACATCCCCACCAACGCCTCGCTTGAAAACTAGCAATACGCGACCTCAAAAACTGTCCATCTCCTCTCGTTGCCTGAGATACTCCTTCGCCAAGGAGTCACCGCCTTTACTGCTGAGATTCATCCAATGATGAGCAACACACATGGTCGTCGGATCGCATCKATTAGGGTCTTGATTCTTTCGCCATCTGGCCTCCAGCTCCTCCCGAAATACTTCTTTCGGTCTTGCAAATGGTGCAATGATTCGGTCCATAAGCTCAGGATGCGTCAAATAGAGTGTAGCAAGTTCACGCTGCGCTACGTGATCTCCCTCTTTGGCCGTGATCTGGAGGAGATATGCAGCGTCTGCCATGCTGTAGCGGGCAATGTCTTCGGCAGATGAAGTGCGGCTAGGCGTTGTGAATATCGCAGAATCTCGTTGCTGCTGCGCCGTGGATGGCGATCGCCCATGGCCTCGATTGTTAGAATGATACGCGATGATGCTGTCAGCCGTCTCTACCATGACTAGTCTTGCGTCCCGTTTAAGACCCGAAATTGCTACTGCTGCATTGCAAAAGGCTTTGCCTTGAGCGGTGTCTTGTAGCGTCGAAGAAGGGAGTAGCGCAGCAATGTACTGCATGTCTCTGAAGATGGTGGAAGGGCGGAGCGAGTGTTGCGAGAAGAGATCACGAAACCCGCGGACACTGATCTCGCTCGAAGTATCCTTTGTTGGCGAGACAGCCGACAATGCGTGGCCATCACCGCCCCGCTGAGCCATGTACGGGATCAGTAGCCTGTCAATATCGTACAGACAGCTCAGCTTCACAGAGGGGTTGCAGACCCTAGAGAACTTCTGTAGCAAACGATGGAACGCACCATCAAAGCTGAACGGAGCCATCGACGTTGGCAAATGAATTGCTGAAGGCATCGATGGTTTCCGCTCTCCAACGTTCCACTGGTATGCTCTCACATTCCGGAAATGTCTGTTGACCAGATCTGACCCAAGGCCGGTCCAAAATGCAACGTCAGTCTCGCTGCCTTCGTTGTACAGGCTGGAGGTAAGATCACTGAGCAAAAGCCCAGTCAGGCGTTCACGCAATCTATCAAGAGCCGGTCGCTGCGTCGCCATTGGCGCATCGCCTCGCTTATTTTGGAACGACTCCATTGCGGATTGCTTCAGCGAAGTGCCGATACTTGTAGTACTCGATGGCGATTCCGCCTCTGTCATTGCGGGAGACCAAAATGGCATGGATGACTTGTTCGTCAGCGTTGGGCTCCTGGTTTCGAGATAATCGCGGGAGCTCACACTGGACAGTGCACGAGAGCTCCCTGACAACGCATCTGAACTACGCAAATGAGGCTGCAATGAAAGTAGCCTAGCTTGGCCAGCACTTCCGTAGAGACCTGCCAGTGTGGCCTGTCCGTACTGCGTTCGGCGACCTTGCCATGACGATCCTTCTCGAGAAAAGAGAGCGTTCGAAGATATGGTGGATGACTCCGCAGGTGCATTTATGATAGATTCAATGCATCGCTTCACTTCCATGCAGAATTTGTGAAGGCGCTCTTCGCCTTTGCAAAGGTTGTCAATGTTCTGCCTCTCGAGCCAAGCGGCGGTAATCCTGGATTGCTCGTCACTCAGCTTGTTGGGACCTCCGTGCTCCGGCCTCGCGCTCAATAGCTCAAGTATTTGAGCTTCCGACTTCAGCTGTACACTCGTGCTTGCCAGCTTGGTGCCACTCCAATGCCGCAAAGGTGGAGTCATCCGTGTGCGTGATGGTCTCTTCGGCCTGCCCATGATACGCAAGGCAGCTGCAACCGATCGAGCCTCATCGTAGGCAGCGGAAGTTCGCACATCCGCAACATACCACATCTTGTCACGTAGACGCTCGTTGGCCTCAGTCAATGGGGCTAAATGTTCGCTTCGCAACTGTGTAGAGGACTTCAGCAGTCTTAACCACTTCCCGCAGGCTTGTTCAATGACCAGCGAGCGACGAATGGAGCTCTCCGCAGATACCTGGAGCTCCTGGATCAAAGATTTCAGCACTGACATATTCTCTGATCGAGAAACCTCCTCGTGTAGCTTCTGGAATTGGTGAAACCAAAAGTGAGCGCCAACAAAGTCCGAATGCGAATCGCAATCCGTCATGGCATCCTCGAAGAATCCGCGCAGCTGCGACCACGCATCGGAAACATGCTCTCCTGGGACAAGTACAGATAGCGAGCTGTCGACTGCGGCAATCTCCAAGCTTCCGAGTAGTTGCTCGACAACGCTCAGAGAAGAATTGTGGTCTCGAGGTTGTGCATCGGGAATTGGTGAATGCTGGTGTGCTGTGGCGTTATCCGTGGAGCTAACTTGAGAGAAACGCTCCTCCATGGTGGTCAGAATAGCAGAGTTTGGTGGAGCTGCCAGCACAGTCCAACGACCCGGGGATCCATGCTGGTCAAATTGTTCAAGCTCTAAGCAGGCTTCGTGTAGCGGTTGAGCATCTGATGACTGTTCCAAGTCGAGGGGATCGCTTGCGGCACCCGGCGACTGCATTTCGCTCGACCATGGGGTAAATAGGTTAGAATAAGTCTCCGCGGAATGTGCATTGCGGAAGAGCGAGAATCCAGACACGGATGATGCGGATGATTGCAAGCCAGATGTGACACTTCCGTAGTCCGAGGAAACGGAAGCAGGCCTCCTTTGAGGGTACAGAGCGTTGATCGATACTACAACATCCTTGGCAGAGACTACCACAAAGTCTTCTCCTGGCCTCCTAGAATCCGTATGGTCAACGTTGGGAAAGTAAGAGTTCGGGCTGCCGCGCTGGAATGTTACTGGCTGCAAGAGTGCCATGATGGTGTTGACGCGCTGCGTCACTTCTGTAGAGGCCTTACTGCCGTGTTTCCTGAAATAAGATTAGCTATGCGCAGACAGCGATTTGAGTGCCGCTCACCATGAGTAGGCCACCTCATACACAGCCTTTTGCGTTCTTTCTGCAATTTTGCGAAGTATTCGTTGACGCGAGATTTCCGGGACGTAGTGGTCAGTTAGAGAACCATGTGCCTTCGAAAGTCAGTGGATGATGATAAGCCCGACAAGTAGCATAGAGCAGCATACCTCGGAAAGTGTGAGAGCGTCGGCCAGGAATGACGAACAAAGCCAGCGCGTGACGATGAATTGTGGTAAACTTTGCTGGTGTCCGGGAGAGTCTGCAAGCTTTTCCCAAATGGTGCGGCCCATCGTAAGTGCACCTGGTGGAATCAGACTGGGGCCCGATTGATCACCCAAAAGATCGAGAAGGGAGTCAACGGCCTGTGCGTAGAACGCTTCCGCCCGGAGCACATCCTCCAGTGGTATTTCCGGCCGTCCCTCAACTCGAGCCCTAAAGGTTTGTTTGCTGGGCTGATCAAGTAGGAAGCAACCTTCTTGGAGGGTCTGCAACATCCACAGTTCAAGGCGTTCCTTGGCTGGCCATGGGAGGGAGAACGCCCAAACATCCAACACCGCCGGGATAAGCTTCTCGCATCCTGGTTTCTGCTTGGATAGCAATTGGGCACATACAGTAGCCCAAATGCTAGTCGAGCGCTCATGCTCGAGACGCCGGGAAGTGGTCAGTCCCCAGGTACAAAACATCAGGGTTTCCAGTGCACTGCCGTATGAGTAAGACGAGACCATGTCTACATGCGCGTCCACAACGAAACCCAACGACCTGGAAGCGCGAGAACTCCAACGGACTGACGATCCAAACATCGATTCGCTTTGCCGGGAAGCACCACGATCCGGAATCAAATCTACTAACTCCTTCTGCGAGAGGGCATCTAGTCGGTCAGCAAGAAAGGTGCCATCGTGTCTGATCTTGGTGAGTAGCTCCAGGATGGAACTTCTAGAATCGGTGGATATCCCATCCATGAAGGAATGGGCACAGTATTGATCCGCACCTGCAGGTTCGGCGGCCACCTCGGGTTGCGGTGCCAAACATTCTTCGCTGGCATCGTGAAAGGCGTGAAGAAGGTTAGTAAAGCTGGCCTTGTCCTCGGACTTGATGCACTCAGCCAGAGTATGTTGGGCCGAACGTGCTGCGCACACAAGACGACTGGTCCGCGCGGTAGCGATCTGAAGACGGTACAGGGTGTCCTCGGCTCGACGGCATTGACGTTGGTGGTCCTTTTGCAGGCGAAGGAGACGAACGATCTCTCGCACAGGCGTGACCTGGTCAGTGTTGACCTTTGTCGAGGCTATTGGTACTGCATCCGGCGAGGAAGAATCCGGAGGATGCTGTGGCCGTAAGATTTTGTTCGGTAAGTCCACTTCGGCGGGCACCTGTGCAAAGTCCACAGCATCGACATTGCTATTCCTCGCCGGTGCCAGATGGAAGGCAAGTTTGAAGGCCATGTCCATGTCCGGTGGAGGAAGAGAGCTGGAGCGCAACCTTGGCAGAGACGAGAGAGAAGAGAGATTCCGCGACGCGATGTCCGGCGAGGATATTTCTGGCGTCGCGGACCTCGAGGCATGGTGAGAGCTCGGAGGTGACACGGCTGCAGGTGGTAACATGAATTAGCGGCGGTCGTTGACAGATGCCAGCAATGCYAACTCATCACTACATATGACCCAGGCCTGGCGCGAAAGCTATGATTGGACGTGGTCACAGCGTTGCAGCAAACTACTAGAAGGAAGAAACGTACAGCCCTGATCCCTTTCATGGTCGTCAAGTGGCGAGCCAGTATTGGACATTGCTTGATTTACAGGTACGGTGGTTGGACGGCGGTGTTGCAGAGGAGAGGCCGGCTCACTTCATCGTCGCAACCCGCGGCACGACTCAGTCGCTTGCAGAGGGCGTGTGTTGGTAGAGGGAAGGTTGAGTTGAAAATGTGGAGCTGCACGTTGCAGATGCGATACCTTGGAAACCGGCACAGAGGCTGACCGTGAGCCTTCGGGTCGAGATTGAATGGGGCTGGAGGTCAACGACTGGAGGTGAATGCAAATCGCGTGCGAGCGATCAAGGCGGATGGCTGAATGGAGAGCGCATCAGACGCCGTCGTGCCTCTTGAACTGACTCTTTCTCAAGGTTCTCGTCTGATGGCAGCTCGGTAGATCACGCATGAGTCGTCCTGCCGCTCGGGTGGACGGCAGCAGCCAATCATGGCGCGCAGCTCCGTCTTCTTCGAGCTCCCTGCAGCTGGCCTCCTTGAACACGTCGACACTCGAGCGGCGGGGCTTGCAAAGCGAGGTGCAGGACTGCTGTCGCTGACCTCGTGCCGTTGTCCGTCATCATTGGTCGATGCCGACGGAGCCGTCGTTGCGATGCATGATTCGTCGCAACATCTTGCCAGTCCTCGTGAGGGTGGCCTGCAACATGCGACCGCGACGGCTAACCTTGCTGAGCTGTAGGTAGGGTAGTCATCCGGGACGCGCATTATTCCACTCCGGTGCGTCGAGATGCTGTAACGATCCACTTATCAAGGCCCATCGCACAAACATGTCGTGTTCAGACAGACGCCGTTTTGTTTTCAAAGTCGGTCTGTCGTGGCAAGAAGCTGCGGCAGATTCCCACTTGCCGCAACGCAAGTATGTTGTGCGACTGTGAAGATAACGGCGCTGCTCATGGGAGAATTGACCCACGAAAAGAACCTTCAAACGCATGACTTGAAAGAAGTTTGGAAGCTACGGTCTACCAAGAATCACCACCTTGATGCGGTCGCCATTGACTCGCTCTCAAGCAACATGGGCCGTAGAGACCACAATCATCGTCAACATGAGAATGTTCAAGAGAACAAGTTACACGTCGTTGACGGCTCTCCCTCTGTCACTTACCTTCTCGAGCGATCCTGCCCGTGAAAAGGTCTCCAAAGCTTCAAGATCGGCGAAGTCTGTCACGAGCGCAACTCGGGAACAATATCGAGATGCCTGGTCTTATCTAAATTGATGACGACTCTCATGTCGACGGCTTTGACTACGACCACAGATTGGGACCCAACGCCGTCGTAGGTTCCAGTTTACAATTACATGGTATGTTGCTTTCGTCAAGCCTCTCATCAAGGTCAACTAGTTCTATATACTTTTCCTGCCAGCCAAACCTGGTTTCCATCGTCCTAGACTTCCGCTGCTGCCGATCTGCAATATCGATATCTGTTTTGCATGGTCATACCCTACGACCTCGAAGCTTTCTTCCTCAGAAACGTCCTGCCCGCGCGTGCTACCCCTTTATCCAAGTCGCTATATTGCTGATCCCACCAAACATCAACGCGATGCATCGACGACCGTGCTGTTCCCGTTGCCGAACGGCATCGAAGGACGTCCCTCGCCAGCTATCCGGCCAGTTGAGACCGGTCACTGCTGGCCGCTTGCAGATATTGCAGTATCGAGCAGTCATTGCACTGAATCAATTTTTGCAGATCTGCGACCTCCTGTTGGAGATTGCTCGCAGCTTCCACAGCTCGTGTTCTCTCCACCTCAAGCTCCTTGATGTACGTGGAGGCCGTGGCAATAATCATAGCTTTCGAGGGTAGTCGAGGCGGTAATGCGCTATCTTCGACGTCCGGCGAGCAGACATAGGCATTCTTGAGCGAAGGAAGCGACAGTCGTAGGGTCTCGATCTGAGTGTTGAGATTGTCTCGGTAGCGTCGCTCTATGACAGTATGCGGAATTCGACGATGTGGTCTTGTTGGTCGAGCAAGATTTGGTAGCATTGTTGCCTCTGACAGTGCTGGCTTGCCGCTAATAGAGTCTTCGGAATCACTGCTGGTCACAGCATTTGAATTGAAGCCACCTGACGAAAAGGACATTTGAGAATCGACGGGGTTGAGTGGCAGGGCTGGGCAGATGAGGTTGCTATTCTGACATTCCTGTGGTATGTTGCCCGACATACATTGGGCTGACGAGAAACAATTCGTGATTTCGAAAGGAGGCAAATCTGTGGTCATGATTGTGGTTGATGGTTGATGGTTGACGGCTGAAAGTTGAGTCCGACCTCATGGAGGTAATCGAGAAGATGGCGTGTGAGTTGACGTTGATATTGCAGCACCTACAGCAGATATATATCTTGTACTTCGAGCCCGTTCCACAGTGACGAGACTACCGTGAACGCACGCGTGGAGAGCTCTACGGCATTCTCCGGTTCTGGTATTCAAAGAATCGTGAAGAAGTTGGCCTTCTGTCGCTAAGAGAGCCGATAGGTCGCTTGACAGTCCATGTTCMACTCTGTCGGTGGTTTGCAAGGTATATGGTGAGAGATGTCACGCCACCCGCAGCGGCCAGCCACGGCCAGATCCACATCCGCATCCCGGAGACCTAGGCGGAATTCGCTCTCCGGCGTATTCTCGTGGTCGGTGTGAAGCCCGACTTGGCTGTTCTGCTCGACCGTGGTGGTTTGGAGTGGTACATGATGGTGCCCAGATACCATGTGGGTAGCGATTTGTCAACGATTGTCTTGACTCCTACAGTACTCTGCTGCATATTAGCTGTTGATGGCGCCCATTGGTACTGGCTGTACCCAGTGAGGACTCACCTGATACTTGAATTGCATGTGTGCAAATGCGAATGCTTCCACTGTCGGATCGTGCTTTTGGGCTGTTGTGTGTGGATCGTTGAGCTGCTGGCAGACACAGTCGGACGTTAGTTGCGGTGGGAGTTCGAAGTCGTGAATCTGCTTCGCCCACGATGTCTACTGGTGAGATGGTAGACCTTATACAAGAACATGTGATAGAGGGGACTAAAGATTCGTGAATCGCCTAAGCTCTTCTTCTTGTGGTCCATTCTCTTCGTGTCATCATGTACCGATGGGTGTTGCTCCGAACGTGGGCAGAAATTCGCATCTTCTGTCTGGGTTGCCGCAATGTCGTCGAGGTCAAGATTGTCATCGAGGGAAGAATGCCATCGAAACCTTTTGAATGTCGGCATGTACTTAATGGCCTGATCTCAACTCACTCAAGCCGTTGCATCGCCCCATGGGGTGATACTTCTCAAAGGCCAAGAGACACAAGACGCACATCCACGTGCCTTCCGTTGTACCGAGCCTGGGTCATGCGGCAGAGGATGTCGCAAATAAGCGTGATCGTTTTTTACCTTGGTCTCTACAATATCGTCGGCTCTGTGTTCCCAGCATGAGAAATGTAATGGTATATCCAGAGTATACTGCTAGTGCCCGTGATGGCCACGCCGTCCAAATGGGATTGCCGATGCGCGCCGCAGCGAGTGTGCTTTGCCGAGCTGTTATAGTAGGATACGAATATTGCCAGCGCATCTTCGCGGAAGCCATACTGACTTGCGCAAGGAGGGCTAAACAAGTGCCGCCAGACATTAGCGCTTGACAGTATGGTTTCGCTTAGGTGCAGCAGAACTGCCACGTCGTGCTCACCAAGCTCCGGGTGAGATTTGATGTGCTGTTCATTTCACTCGGCTCCGGCGTCTGCCACTCATCCCGCGCATGAACATCTTTTGTCGAGGTCAAATCGAGGTCGCCTCGGGAGCAGTGCGATCTGTTGTGATGTTATGTTCGCATTATGTATCTACTGTTAAGAATCCCAGTAAATACGATCTTTTCCTGCCCTTTCGTGCTATGATGCATCAATATCGTACAAAGTGTCTTGAACAAGCCTACCGACCTGCTCGCACTGTTATGCATTCAGCCAAACCTTCCCACGCCTGTACACCATTCGACCTACCCTATGATTTTTACACGAAGCTTGGCCAGCGGCCTGGTGTTCGAGCAGTATCCGCATCAATCGTTGCCTCCTCCTGCCGTTTTCGTTCTCTTTCAAACGCGAGCGCATCTTCCCAAGCGTGTACTGGAGAGACTGCTAACTCGAACGCACGCAGATCGTGAGGCTCCTAAGCCTTTCGCGATCTGGTTACGCGACCGGGAGTGCCGTTCTCCTTCCCGGTGCTGTATCCAGCAAGAGTCGATGGGCCTCCGCTCAATCGTCGCCTGACATCCTTGGCATCGGGCAACGGCTCATCCTTCATCTCCACAAGAGCACTGGTCGCGCGGCCTCTACCCTTCTTGACTGGCTTCTTGTATGTAGATGCRTAAAATCCAATGAAGAGGAACAGGTACGAGCTGAGGATTCCCATACCAGCAAAGGCTGCAAACTCCTCTCCAGCACAGATGCCATATGTTGGCAGCCATGGGAAGTACCGGGCGCTGAAGTAGGTGTATGACGCAAAGTAAACGAACCCGAGATCAATCACGAACTGGATGATCTGGAGCATGGTGATGTACTTTTTCCACCAAATCCTGATGCCACGTGCAGACTGGAAGTAATACCAGTACATGACAACATGGACCATCAAGTTCAGAGTGATTGGCACCCAGGACACCGCAGTGTGGCCGAGAAGCTGGGTGTAGCAGAGGAGGGCGGTGGCACCGTGGTGGTAGGTGTGGAGGAAGGTGAGCGGCTTCTTCTTGAGGAAGAGGAAGCATGTGTCGAGTAGCTCAAGGTACTTGGTGAGGTAGTTCAACTGGAGCAAAGGTCAGTCCTCATTTCCTCTCTGCGCTGCGCTGCGCATCTCCCGCTTCAAACTCACGTAGTAGAGAACCACAAGCTGCTGCGTCCAGCCACCATTGTAATGGCAGATCGCGTAGTAGACACCATTCCTCGTGACTGTTGGAATCAGCTGCTCCAAGAACAGCAGCAAGAGGGTGCCACTGATGGCCGTCAAGTAGAAGTTGTGGATCTTGAAGAAAAAGTTGAGCTTGAACGCCGGTCTTTCCCTCATAAACTCGCGTCCTCCAAAGATGATGATGTAGTAGGAGATCAGGAAAATCGCGGTTTCCGCCATGCTGGCCATTGGCGTCTTGCCGGACACGAAACGGAAGTCCTCCGGCGAGTAGCCACGGACAGCTTCAAATGCTTTCGCGAAGATGGGCCACAATGCGACGCCGAATGGTCTATCGAGGGTGGGAATGCCATATTCGAGCCAGTCTGGTTGCCCCATGTTGCTCGAGGGTGTATCGTATTTTGATGCAGCGTGCAGGAGCGCGTTGAGCTTGTGTCGGGATTCGAAGAGGTCGCGTGCGTTGAGGCTCGGTCGTGCAAGTTTGGGCGCGTCCTAAGGAGTGACGGGAAGAGAACAGACTGACTCGATGCCAGCGAAAAACTGTAAGGTCAGAAGCGGATGAGGTTGACGAGGAAGTGTTTATGCAGAATGAGGCTTAATAATAAGGGGTCGTGGAAAAAGGCCAATTTCACTCTTGGTGAGAGAGCCGGCGCCAGTTGGACACGCTTCTTGCCGAGTCCGATAACGAGGCGCCGAAGGGAACAGTATATAACTTTACAACGTTGTACGCGCCTTTCACATGCAAGCAATGATGTCCTTCACGTGTATTGCCCGCGGCGAGGCGTTCCTTCCTTTGAAAATGTGGTCTGTTGTCGGATGCAAGAACGATCTCCGACGAAACATCCATTTCAGGCGCATGACGACGTTGCCGCTACYTCCGGTCTTTTCTAAGCAGAAGGAGCTGCTGCTCAAGTTGGCCAATGCCACATCTTCCAATCAAAGCCCACATATATCCATGACAGCATCGTGTCTCTTAGCGAGGTGGAGGAGATGGCATAGTATACAGTGCATTCACAGGAACGAGACATGTCAACACTAAGGAGGATCTTGGACAAATACCAATCGCGTGAGTGAAGATACTTACATATCTCTCAGAGGCCCCTTCAGGCCACCTCGACGATCATCAATGTAAATAATAAGTGGTCATACGCTTCGATTACCTCGTGTTGCTGATTCATCTTCGCTCGCTGATACCACTGAGCGGCCTTGATGCTCCGCCCAACGCTGCTATATCAGAAACAGAATCAGGTCTTCGCCCTGAGGCAGATAATGATGACCATCTGGTACGATTCGTTAGTAATGGTCGTTCTCTGCGGCCAACATTCCGAGACGACTTACATCCGCACTCTGCGGTCGTCACCAGCGCTCGCAAATATGGCCGGGTTGGTGGGATGCCAAGCTACCGCATTGACAGGCCCTGGAGCATGTGCGTCCAGCGCAGCAACCTGCATTCCGGTTTGTCGCCGCCAAATGTAGACTCTCGAGTCTGGGTCCAATGTTAGCAACACTTCAAATCCATTTCTCTCCATCGATACACATACCCTCGCTGCCACTAATGATAAATCCTTCGCCCGCGCCTCCAAATGCACTTCGAATGACATACTCCTTTTGCACCACGCCTTCATACCTGCACACCACCTCGCCGGTTTCAGAGTCCAGCGCTACTACTCGACCCTCGTTCATGTTGACCAGCAGTAGTTCCCCGTCACTTGAGAAGTTGGTCGAGCTGAGTTTATCGTCCATGCTCCATTCTGCAATCTTGCAGTACTGCTGCGCTGGGTCCAGAGAGTATAGCATGATCCTATTGTGGCTTGTGGCTGCAGCCATGCGTGTACCAGCAGAGTTGACGGTGCAATCAGCGATACGAAAACTAGGCGGTTGTTCCTCCAATGRGGCGTTCCAGGGAGGATCCCGCCAGGAATGGATCTGAGAATTCCTTACGACATTTGGGCCTTCGCCCTGTTGACCAGCGTCCGGTCGGAGGCTGTACAGGCCCAATGGTCTTTCAGAGCCGTGAGAGCCAATGACGAAACGCTCGGAGTCCGGAAGCCATGCACACGCCGTTACGGAGTAGTCGAAGTGGTCTGCGTGGGCGACTCTCTTCCCATTCCTGGTGTTGACTACCACAAATTCGCTGGTCTTACTGCAGATTATGAGGTAGAGATTGTTGGGTGAAAATGCAATTGAGCAGATGCCTCGTTCATCGCTCGATGTGCTGGACGCACTACTGCCCTGACGACTTCGTTCAAATTCGCGGATTTCATGCAGGATGCTCCATCTACCAGTCTCGTACACGCAGACCAGCCCGTCCCTACCGGCAGTGGCAAGCATAGATCCGTCGCGACTGAAGTCTAGCAGCCATACCTCATCCGAATGATGTCGCAGCTCGAGTTTCGTGTGTAATGGAAAGTCTTCCGCGAGGCAATCGTGATCGGTGTATAGACTGGGCTGAAGTGTTGTGTTGTGATACCGGCAATTCTCTATCTGCTCGTCCTGTACCATGGACAGTAAGGTAGCAAGACGATGCTCAGGAATCATCACGGATGGTGAGATCGCCTTGGATATCTGTGAGAGCAGAACACTTCGGCTTTGCCCTTCCACGCCATCCCAATCAGCCCGGCCTCGAAGATCTGATGCCGAAGGACACATCACAAGGCTGCAGAACCTTTTGTCAGCAATGCAACGTCTAAATGAGCTCGCACCTACCGCCTTTTGACAACACGTACCTTGAGAGGAAATGCAAACGCCCGACATCGGTTTTCAGAGGGGTGAGTTCCGATCGTAAAACGATCAGAGCTGAGGTGAGATCCCGGCGTTCCAGCAGCTCGAGATACTTCTGCTGTCGGAGGCAGAGTCTCAAATATGTGACATCGGCGCCTTCCGCCAGCGGGAGTCCTTGTCTTGATGTGCCATTGTGAGCCCCGCCGCTCTTCCGCCATGTTACGTTGTGGGAGTCCCCGTTTCCAACGAGTACTCCGCCTCCGTCAAGCTCGGCTGAGTCTGTTCCAAATAACAGAGACTCTGCTTCATCCCACTCCCCACCCAAAACTGCGGTCCTAAACGCAGCAACGCTGGGTATCTCCAGCTCGTAGCCACTTTCTCGTGAGAGCTGTTCCGCAGCTCCTCGGTATCCCAAATCGCTTAGACTCTGCAGCAGTATTCGTGTGACTTCTTCTCTATCGTGGCCAAAGAAGGGTTCCTCATTTTGTACTGCTATTGCGTTGTCGGTGTGCCCATTGGTGTAATGTCCGTTTGTTTCGCTCTTAACGGAACTGTTGGTTGGCGGAGAAGAGCCGTTGAGAGATAAGCCGTTGATCGAAGGTCGTTGCTGCGTTCTGAGACTGTGTTCGGTGGCGTGGTCAGGCCGCATAGTCCCGTCTACAGGGGATACGGCTTGCTCGTTCGAACCACGGACTCGCTTCCTGGGATGACTACCAGAAGCGACGGCACTGCCCGACGCAGAAATAGAAGAACTTCTGCGGCGCTTGCGTAAGGGATCGATGTGGGCAGTAGCCGTCGGCTCGGCGTGGACAGATTCGCGTCCCGAGGGTACACCAGTGGCGGTCAACGAGTGTGCTTGATGTTGGTACGATTGGGCAGTAGAGGGTGGTGCTTGAGAAGAGTCCTGGGCAGGATGTGCGATTGAGGCTGTGGATGGGACGGCGGAGGCGATGGGAGGGGAGGAGGAGTGGTTGGGTTGCTCAGTATCCAGCGTGCTGGCTTCGTGGGTAATTAGGCGGGTCCTATGCTGGCCTGGGAGCGGCCGCAGACATGGACCTCGGACTGTTGGCTGCCAGAAGTGCTGCGGAGAGCCGTTGGTGGAAAGAAGCAGCGCTCGTAAGCTGCGTCCTAGATGTGGGAATCCGTGAGAGGATGCGTAGAGTGAGCTACAATCGAACAGCTATGGTTGCGGCAAATGTCCGGCTTCTGAATGTTTCGTAAGCTCAGTTGACGCTGTCGATGTTGGTGTCTTGGTCAGTGGGTAGATCCTCCGCGTTCAGTGATAAGGTGGTCAAGACAGGTGCGAAGGCATGAGGTGCATGGGGAAGGAAGCCCATGAGATCGTCGGAGCTCATCATCACGCTAGACAAACATCATCATGCGAGCCCAATGACATACACGCCTTCAATCTGATGTGCAGCCTATTGTACTTAAGAACTTCTCATCGTTCTTCTACAAATCACCCGGGAAGCACCTTGGTAGGCACCTTGTTGGACGCCGTTTCATCAAAGTTCTCAAAGAGCGTCCTTGAGAAATGTCTTGGATCTCGCATACATCACACGACTCATCATTGCGGGGACTTGATAAGACATCAGCTGGGACAACCGCTTGAACCGCGTATCTATCCCGAACCACGATAGCAGACGCTGCCGTTACGCTCTGCTTCCTAACAGTGATGATCACGCGTCTCGTGTCACGCGTGATCACGGCGCCTTTTAGAGCGGTGGACATTTAGCTTCGACAGCTCGAATGAGCATGGGCCTGGACCTTTGCCGACGACGGCATCAAATGTGCCATGTCTTGCACATGGTTACCTCTATGTTATCCTCTTCGCACATCGACGACGAAAGACGTTGCCAGTACTTCTTGTTGCATTGGAAGGTCTGACTATGTACAGATCTAGAACATACTGTGTTCTCTACCACTTTCCCTTGTTTTTCGAATCTTCCTGGGACTCGCGCTTTTTGCTCGAATCTGCAGATTGGGACTCTCCACCCACGTATCTCGCGGATGTCTCTTCATGACACCAGCTCTAGTACTAAGTCTCACGGGAGATATTCGAGCCTCCAACTCTGCAGCATTATCCACATCCCAGCTCGATGGAAACCCTGAGCTGCTATGATTTGGTCCAGGAGCCGATGTAGTGTTGTTTAAATGGATGTCTCCGAGTACTGATGTGCTGCCACTAGGACTCAGCGTTCCACCGCTTTCACTTAGAGCTGGCRGAGAGCCGCCGCTTGTGCTGCGACTGTAAACGCTTGACAGGGAATCCTTCCTGTTCAGTGCCGCCAGGTGTAGCTCCATCAAAGCTCGAGAAGGCTTGGTGACGGGCTCCGTCACAAAGCTGCGGGTCCGAGTTAGTCTTGACGGGCGTTGAGGTAGATAGGTGGTATTCTGCGACGTCATAGGCGATTGGTACCTGTAAGGTATGTACGCGGGGAGAGGCGGCAACGGTGACGAAGGCGGTCGAGGCACGAAGTTGCTGACTTTATGACAGCGAAGCGTCATCGTTGACGGCCATGGCGTAACGATCGAAGGGGGTAGCGAAGTCTTCGACGTAGATATGCCTAGACCCAGGGCATTCTTTGGGCATGGAGGGAGTAATTTAGCCGAACTCTTCCTGGGAACCATGGCTGTATCAGGCGAGCTACAGCTGCGCCGTGATGTAAGGGCCTCTGTTTCAACTGAGGTAGAGGATCTGCACTTGAATGACACTTCGGACCGCATGGCAAATTTTGCGGTCTTGTGGTGGGGAAGAAATAAAGGAAGAAGGCGGTGCTCTTCAACAATGCCGAACAGATGGCATCTGAATGGCCCTTCTACTCGGTCCAGCAGAACGACGAGTATGCCGGACACAATCCTGGAGTTATCAGCTGCAGTTCCCCATCTCGGAATGAGAACAACTTACAAGGCCACGAAGCTGGCGAGTATCCCAGTGCGGTTCAAGATGCAAGTTACACCCTTGTCCAGAGGCATCACGTCCAATGTTCCCGCGCTCGTTGTACTCAACACGCACAACGGCTGGCGACTAGTTGTTGCGGTGATGCTGAGAGCGGCAGATATCAACCAGAGCGTGGCCAGAACTCGCAAAGTGAACCTTGCCAAACTCCGAAGTGTATCCGCTCTCTCGCACTGCATCATGTTCCTGGCCGAGGTGTTCAATCTAGTTGTAGTGGTGTGCAATATTACATAGGATATGGAGACGATGCTCTGAAATGTTCTGTGAGCTGTTGCCTCGAGCCTCAAGCGAATGACAAACTTACAGATACTAGTAGAAGTACCACTGAAGGGATATCTTTGACAGAGATCACACCCATAATCAAAGTGTACATCGTGCTTGCCGCAATATAAAGTGCCGTCCATAGGAGAACGTGTTGGCAAAGCACAACGGCAGCTCGTCCAACAGTCGACCGGGAGCTCTTCAGTCTTGTTGCTGTGCTCTTGTTCGCAAGCCTCCGTGTGTCCATCGCGATGGCGTCGTACGGAGTCCGAATGATATTGTCGTCCGCTGTCGTCCAGCAAAGCCTAAGGTTTCGTGTACAGTTCAACTTCCGTCGCAGCTTCAGGTCACTTTTTGGATTTCAGGTACTTTGCGCGAAGAGCGCGGCAAACTGCCGATAACGGAATCGATACTGCTACCAGCCACTCTGTCGCGTCAGGTAACACACGCGCTGGCTGGAAGAGCACGCATGAACGTACATTCCAGACGGCGGGCCAGGAATGTATGTTCACTCGAGGATGCCAAGACTTGATCGGCGAACAGCATCGAATTGGAAACTAGTTCCTGTACAGTCAGATCATGAACTTGAATACACTCCTTGCTGTAATTGATGATGATGATGGTGGTGGTAGTGATGCTTGCTGATAGGACTGCGAGTGTTTCAAAGTTCTCGCGAAGTGAATGAGCAGGACAAGGCAGGCGTTTTACCCTCATATCAAATGATGTAGAGACGATGCATGCGTGGTGTCCATAATTTTTCAAGTCCATGCCTAAAGGCGCCGTCCAGCTGATCAGAAAATCTGCAAGCAGGGTGAGAAAATTCGTTATGTCCAACAAATGATACAACGATTGATAAGATTGTTACTCGCAGGTTCTCGCTGCCGCTTGCTTGGTTGGCGCTGCCTGCATGCCACTGTTGCCGATACTGATACAGCCGTGTAGTCATCCTGTCGATATATTGGAAAAGAACATAACCTTCGACAAATCCTTTCCTTCTCATGTCTCACTTCTCTCGATCAACGATAGGCGCCGGAATGCCTTCGGATCTCTGGACCTTATTCAACAAGCTGCCATTGGCAAATGTGTCGTTGTAGTTGAGATCAACTAGTGGCTTGCCATTCGCACGACTACCGTCGATGACGCCGCGGCCTTTGCTGTGTCCTCCCCATCCTTGCTTCTCTTGAGCACCGAGCAAGCCTTCACCAGTGAACGCCGTTTGGGCTGGCTGACGATGCTGCGAGAAGCCGCGTTGGAGCGGTTGTGAAGACTGTGAGACGGACCCTGAGCCATTGAGGCCGTCATCTGCCATGCCGTACGGTAGAGTGTTCTCGCCAGGCTGGCCCCTGATCTTTTTGACATTTGCATCGCCAACAGTTGGCACGGCCTGTGACCCACAGCGCCGCCAATCAGTACTCGCAGGAACTCCCATCAAGTCTTCGGGCGACGTCGCGCTGTCAATCAGCCCACCGCCACCGGTGTTTCCTGGAACAAAGCCCTTGCCCATTGCTTTCTTTGAGAACTGCGGTGCTTCGCGATGTTCTGGTGTGAGGTCGATGAGCGGCTTGGGCTTTTCCCGTACGACCGATCCCGTGCGTTGCAGTCCACCTGAGTCGCCACGCCTACGGCCTGTCTCGCGGTCACGAGTGGAGCCAGAGCGTTTCACTTCACCGGCCCCATGACCCTGTCGGCGCATAGAGGACTGCCTTTTGACTCCGCCAGCAGCTGCGAGCTCGCCGTCTTTACCATCGATGCGGCCATTGAGCAGATTCGGCCCCGCTGTCCAAGGATCTTCTGGCTGAGCCTCCTTCTCCTCGTAATTCTTTCGACGTTGTGAGTATTGCCGCCCGAGCAGGCCAGTGTTCTTGAACTCGGCAGATTCCGCACGGCGCTCGGTCACCGCGCTTCGCTTGTTGACAGAGTCGTTTCTTTGGAGGTTCGCCAGGGGCTCGTCGTCTTTGAGTTGTCTTCCGGCTGGGACTGTACGTTTATTGACAGATCCATTTCTTTGTAGGTTTGCCAAGGGTTCATCATCTTTGAGCTGCGCCTTTTGGGTAAGCACGCCTGGCGGATTCCTCCTCCTCGCCGTTGAATTCCTCCTCTCGGGAGAGACGTTCACATCGAATTGGTTGGCAGACTTTGTAAATGCTGTCTCCTGGCTTGATCCTGTTGGCTCCGGCTTCTCAAACACCTCCAAGTCGATCAGAGGCTTGAAGGAGCCGAGTTGATAGTGCGACCCCACAGAGTCTTGTACACGATGCGTTTTTGCGTTCTCGTTGCTTACTTGTCGTTCGGCACGTGTGACTGCTGCTGTGGCTGCTGGCTTTGGCTCTTCTTTCATGCCTTCGCCCAATACGTTGACCAGATACCAACTACGCCACCCTTGTATGGCTTTGTGGAAACTTTCAGCAGTAGGTTTGTYGCCCGTTGCAAAAAAGTGAACAAAGTTGTCGGTAGTCTCAAACATGCTCGTCTTTTGCTGGCTCTTGATCGCATAACAAAGCTTTTTGGGGGGCTTGATCTTCTTCTTCAGCTTCTCTGGCGTCGGCGTGTATACGTCGAAGTCGCTTAGATGACACACGTTCGCAACTTCCTTCATCTTGTCTGCTTCCTTTTGACAAACGATCTGACCGTCGGGGCGAAGAATCACAAACCGTTTTTCCCACTTGCCCATCTTCTGAGAGTAAAACAGATACCAGCTCTGCTCCTCGGGTCTATCCTTGGGCACACCTGCCATGGTGAGTTCCGGCTCCACAATCCCGGACGCGGGATCAACCAACAGCAAACTATTCTGTTTATCACTGTCCCAGCTATTCATCACGCTCCGCACATATTCGTATCTTCGCAATGGTCGCTGGACGCCGACAGTGCTGAAGTATTCCAGCAGCACCGCAGACTTGACATCGATATTGCCTGACATGCAGATAGACGCACTTTTGATAATGTCCACAGAGGTGGTGGTGGGTGTGACTGGGAAGACTCGCTGCGATCGTCCAAACTCCACCAGAACTAGTCTGTCACCAGCGTTGACTGCAGAGACCGGAGCATCAATCCCAGGAACGATGCCACCTCCGCCAGGACGAATAGGTAGGAGCTCTCCCTTCGAGTCTCGCGCCCGCGGGATAGCCGCTCCGGCAGGCAATGCTTCTCCCCTCTTTCGCTTAAACCAACCTCCAAAGCAGCCTGTGTCAGCTTCTGCTTCATCATAGTGCGGCAGTTCAGTCAAGCTCCTTGTGGCTCGAATCTGTCCAGACTGTGGAGGGCCATCATGACGAACAGGCTTTTCCGTCGCTTTTGGCGGCGGGAAGAGGTCCCCGACAGGGACAGAAGAGGGTGTTGGAGGGGAGCGCGATTGAACGAGCTCGTTGGATTGCTCGCGATTGAGCCTGCGGTGTCCACTGTTCATTGCCAGAGTGTCCTCCTCGTCTTTGAAATCACCCGCACTGACCTCTGCTGACGGAGAGACAAGCCGGTCATCAGACTGCTTAGTGTTGGAGCTCGTCTGGCGCAGTTGCGGTGGCTTTTGTGCTAATGGAACCTGATTTAGCGGCTTTTGCGGCGACTGGCGATTTTTCGAGTGGTACCGCGAGGGCATTTCGGGTTGCGACTGTAGGGTTGGCTGCTGTGCATGCTCTGCAGATGTGCTTACTGCAGTCCCCGGTCGACGATGGTAGCGGGACTTGCTACGGACCACGCCGTCGACCCCCTGCGGACTAGGAGCTTGGTCCGGCCCTTGGAGTCCTTCGGCGGATACCTTTCGACGTTGCGATTTGTATCGCGAGGGCCTCGTGATGGTGGCCATCTCCGCCATGCCGCATGAGGCTGCCGCGGTCGCAGCACTCTTCAAGTCACTCTCAAAAGTTGCGACAGACAGGTTTAGTATGCAGGGCCCTGGAGTATGCAGACCGGAGTATTGACGCGAGCGGCAAGGATACCTTGTCAATCACAAGATACGCTTTGCGGAGATCGATTGGGAAACCTGGCCAGCACGAGGTGTGTTTTTCGACTGCGAGAGGGAGTGAGAGTCGAATGCGACATCTGTGCTCGACCAGGTGCGGGACTATGGCGAGGTTTGGCGTTTGCGACAGTTTCCACACGCGACATTAACCCCTGCTTGACGGAGACGCTAATGCTAGGTCGCGCTGGATGCAAGTCGTGGCTGTGGTGGCGTAAGGTATGCGAGACTGTTGCAACTAGTTGTGAGGAACCGGTGGTACGATGGATATTACGTCTCTGCGGAAGCAACTGGAACACATCATTATTACATGTATGCAGTCGATGAGGAAATCTCGTAGGATCAACGCAAAGTGTCAATTGCAATGTGTGTTTTGTAGGTGGCACTCGCCTCGAAATCCTCGGCAGCCAAGGCGGACCTGTGCACCGTTCCCCACAGATCTGCAATGGCCGTCTTGAGGCATTTCTTGTGAGGGAATGTAACGATTGGTGGGAGTGATGTACAAGGAGGAAAGCTGTACGCTTTTCACGATCATAAATATCAATCAGCCCCACGATCATCGGCGTCGAGGATCTTTCGCTTTGCAGTCACTTTCGTGGTTGCCCTCGGTGGAGAGGAGAGGATACCTAAGGTAGGCTGTAAGTGTCTGCTTTACGATAAGTCACAACTTGTAATCCACTACTTGGCAATTCGGCCAACGTGAAACGCAATCAACGGCGGTAACTAGATCTTGGCGGAATGCACCTACGATCCCGAAGGTTGGATCGTCCAGATACACGATGGGATGTAAGAAGGCCATTTCAAATCATGCTCGGCATTTGAGTATGCTCCTGAACAAGAGCTGTCTCGGGGCAGATATCGTCGGGAAGGGCCAGAATCCATGCCTCGTTCGTTCAGAGATATCTGGGTGTGACATACTAAAATCTTGCAAAGATAGGCGTTGGGTGAAGATGTGGATACCTAGTTCTGTCGTTGTCGCCCTATGGGATGGCTTCCGGCTCGGCCCAACTGCCGAGTTTTTAGGTTTCTCAGTCAGAAAATGCCTAAAATCTTCCAGCGCAGCGGAGTCAACATTACCTCTGCAGGCAAGGAAGCAAGATACAGAGTCATGGCGACCGACAAACCCGTCCACACAGTAGTGCTGGACACGGGAGCAATCATCAAAAATGATCCTTCCGTTTCCACCCTCCTCAGCCAAACTGAAAATATCATAACCGTGCCTGCAATCATAACGGAGATCAAAGATGCCGCGACAAGATCTCGAGTGGAAACCACATTACGACCATTCCTGTCACTCAGATCACCGACGCCGGCAAGCGTGAAGGTCATCACCGATTTCGCGCGCAAGACTGGCGATTTGGCTGTGCTAAGCAAACCTGATATTCAAATCATCGCTCTCACTTACGAACTTGAATGCGAGCGGAATGGTGGCGATTGGAGGTTGCGGCGGGTGCCCGGACAGAAAGGTCTCAACGGTGCGCCTCCTGCCAGAACGGAAGGCCAGGGCAATGGAGAGACCGAGGCAGCGAAGTCAGAAGACACTGTTACGGAGTCGAGTGAGCAATCCGAAGCAAAGGCCTCGGAGCCTGCAGCTGTTGAGACTGGCGTTGATGTTCCAGATTCTATCAATCTAGAGCGCAGTGGAGATGTTAAAGAGTCTGAGGCGCTGCTAATTCCTGCCGAAATCGCACAAGATCCGGATGTCGTCGTTCAGATCACCTCAGCACTGGAGTCAGCGAACCTTGCAGACAAGGGCGAACCTGCATCTGACCATCTCGAATCRCAAGAGGCTTCTGGAGAGGCTCCGGATGATCCAGACTCTGATTCAGATGGCGGTGGCTGGATCACTCCAGGCAACCTGAAGAAGAAGCAGGCCGAAGATGCATCAGCTTCAACAAAGCAGATTGCGGAACCCAAGACAATGCAAGTTGCAGTTCTGACGTCCGACTTTGCCATGCAGAACGTGATCCTGCAGATGAACCTCAACCTACTGTCACCTTCAATGGCTCGCGTCAAGCATCTCAAGACGTATGTGATGCGATGTCACGCCTGCTTCAACACCTCTAAAGATCTGAGCAAACAGTTCTGCGGACGATGTGGACAGCCATCTTTGACAAGAGTGTCCTGTTCAACCAACGCGAATGGAGAGTTTAAGCTACACTTGAAGAAGAACATGCAGTGGAACAGCCGTGGAGATCGCTACAGCATCCCGAAGCCAGTGCATGGGTCTTCTAATGGGCGAATCAAAGGAGGCGGTAAAGGAGGTTGGGGTAATGACTTGATCCTGGCAGAGGATCAAAAAGAGTACCAGCACGCGGCGGTGCTTGAGAAAAGGCATAAGGAGAGGAATTTGATGGACGAGGATTACTTGCCCAGCATTTTGACCGGCGACAGAGCGAAGTCTGGAGGCCGAGTTCGCGTCGGGGCTGGAAGAAGTGTGAACTCGAAAAAGCGATGAGCAACTCCGTGTGGGCGGAATTACGATAGAGCAGTCACTGGACGTATATCTCGCTGTGTTGCACCATCAAAGGACTGGATGACCTGGGTATGTTAGTCGGAATTGGAGGCCCATGACATGGTCGATCGAGGGCTGGAGGCTGAAGTGGAAAACGTTCAGTATAGAGCGACGGTAGCATATTTTGATGATGTTATGATGTTGAGGTCGGCATAAATGTTGGTCCAGTAGTCTTCCATCTACGACGATCAGCCACCGTGTTGTGTTGTTGATTGATGCAATTGTTCTGAGGTGTCTAGATTTGCATGTGACAGAGTCTCGGCAGAGTGAATGAACTCAGACAGGCTGCCACGAAAGTCCCCGCCAACCTTCAGCGAACCGCCATCGACGCTCTCGCCAAACATTGCGCTTTCCGTGTTCTCACTTTCCCACCAAGCGACTTTCTTCACGTCAAATACCGCGTTCACCGACATCCGGCATCGAGCCAACGCTTTCAACCAGTGACTTTCATCGGCAACACCACCATCGCTATCACCGTCACGTTCTTTGTCGCGCACTCYCCCATCGCAAACCTCCACTGCGACGCATCGGCAGMATGCCGTCCTCGTCAAACCATGATACCTGGAAGGAGGAGGAGATTCTCGACAACTTCAAACAGGGATTCGTCAGGTTCTACTACAAAGGCTTTCGCGCGGAAGCCAGTGAAGTATGCCAGATCTACAGCAACTTGCTTGAGTTGCCGCAGGAAACCCTCACCGACCACTTCAAAAACGAAGACGAGGCAGAGTGGGCGCGGTTGGTACGTAACCCGTGAGCATTGCAAATGATGATTTTCGCCTCACTGACGGCACTATTTGCGTAGAAGAAGAGGATTCAGAGCAAGAAGACAAGTGAGAGTGTGTGGACAATCAGCCGCTCTTTTTCGGACACGGCGGAGGTCCTGATTCAGTGTGGAAGACACGAAGAAGGTAAGCAGTTCTATGTGTATGCGAAGCACGTCCAGAAGCTGGCGGAGGCTCTTTATGCGGAGGAGGAGAACCGCAAGTAGAGGGAAATGGTTTCATCAAGGCGGGTATGGAAACTCGGGAAAGGACTCAACGCCATCATCAGAGTGTAAATGCGGCGGTCATGGGGAGCGACCCCAGAGAGTCGTGGTCTGGGTTCGAAGTGAGCCTACCGAGATGGAAGGATCGACATACGAAGCATGTGTGGCCCACAAGAGGGACAGAGATTGTGGTGCTCCCAGGGCTTACCTAGAAGATCACACCCGCTGCATCAGCCCACACATCGAGCGACGACAGCAACGATGCGCTTGTACAGGCCACAACATAGCCATGCAACACATGAACCATTTCCCATGCTCCTCCTCTGCTTATCCATGGCCTCGATCAATCAAGGTTGTATGGCATTTCTGACGCCGACTGTCTCCAAAAAGTGATGAAAAGCCAGCTCTTATAATACCTCATGTCTTTCTTCGTCCGCCTAAATCGCAGTCGCAGCAAATGTGTAGCAAAAGGCCTGCATAACGCCGGACCGAAAGCTTGCTGCGCTGTACTGTCTAAGTCAGCGTCGTGAAGAAAGGAAGAGGAAGTTCGGAGCGCGGAAAAAGTCGCTTTTCACCCGCTTTCGAAATTGGTCAGCCGGTTAGATGTCGGGGATCTGCACGTCCTCCAAACTCCAACCCCGCGAACCTCACGTCAACGAGTGAAGCGCAGGCCTTCCAATCCTTTACGCGTATCGAGTTGCGACCCTTACGAAGAGGCCATTGACGTTATACCAACGCGGGTACGCAATGCCCAGGAACTCTCGCCGGATTCATGGACGGCACATGAAGGACGCGATTGAAGCAGGCGACTTAGGACGTGCACAGATACATCTCGCTATGGAAAGGTTCGAAATGAAAGTTCAGGACTCTATCGATGAGTCGATGGAAGACGAGACTTTGGACAACATAATGAAAACGTATCACATCATTATGATGGCTTTGATGACCGCCGCTGGCTACTGGTCGCCGGGCGAGGTAGTTCGGGGAGCGCTCTGCTGTATTCATCGATGGCGATTGTCAGGAGAGGCAGGCYCAAGTTGAGGATTCAGGTGAGGCTAAATCCTGGGATGCTGTGCCGGATGCATGTCAAAGCTGCGAAAGACGGCAGCGTTGAGGACCTCGGGAGGTAGGTACTTCTAAGGGAAAACCTCTCTGGCCGGGCTTTCTCTCGATGTCTGTCCAACTCTCTCTCTCTCTCTCTAAGTCCCCTCCGTGTATATGAGGGACCGGGGCTCAGAATTATCGACAAGCATTGAAGGTTAAGCTTGCCCGTATGTTAGGAAGCCAGCACATGCCAAGCCATGTTTCATTCACTCTCCTCACCCCACTTATGAGCGCGGCGGCCTAGGCTTTCAATGCACCGCATCATTCGCACGTCACAATTGCTTACTCTTACCTCCAACACACATGCATAGCTTCATGCAGCACCGATCACAAAGCCATCTACCACACTGACGAACGACACTACGCCAAACAGCATGGCCGACGAGACTGCTTCACGGCGATGGCGGTAGGCTAGCCGTGCTCGGCTCCGGCAAGAACATGTCTGACTTTTCCCCAGCTTCCATTCCGAGATTGTCACCGTCAAGATCGGACAGAATCCAACCGAAAACTTCTTTATCCACGAAGGAACCCTCAAGCAGCACTCTGACTTCTTCAAGGCCGCCATGGACAAGAAATGGAAGGAAGGCCAGTCGATGGTCATTGAGCTGCCAGAAGACAAGTCTGAGGTTTTCTCCCACTACGCAGATTGGCTCTATTGCGGTGTTTTGAGCCCTGTAAGCTTCGACGTGGATGATACTGAGGGGCGGACTCTGAACAAAGCGAGCTCCTACAACGACCTCCTGGCTGAGATGTATGTGTTCGGCGAGAAATTTCTAAATCCGAGATTCTGCGACGCCGTTATGTGCGCAATGTGCAAGAACGCTCAGTACACCATACCAGACATGTGCACTATCGAGATCATATATAATGGCACCAACTCGACGTCTCCTGTTCGCCGCTATCTGGTCGAATATTGGTTGTCACAGAGTCTGAAATACGGCGAGCTCACCATTTACGAGGATGAGGAGGACAGGCTTCATCCCCAATTCGCGATAGAACTCCTGCGCGCTTTCATGACACAGCCAAAAAAGGGGGCTTATTATTGGGACCCAGGATCAGAGCCCAGGAAGGCATGGTTGAAAGTCAAGTGAGCGAGAAGCACCCCTCGAGTCTATCGATGGTGAACAGCTGTAAGGGTACGTCTAACACTCATGATCATTATTACCTTGTTGCTGACACACTTGTTAGTTCCGTCCGACGAGGGCTGACATTCGTCGATATCAAGACCATGCGATAGGACGGCTATCACGAGCAAATGGGAGGAGCAAGAACATAGCCACGAGCAAAAAGCACCATGCTTCGCATCAGCTCACAGTGGAACATGCTTTTACAATCGATGGGAGGGCGTTCATTCAGCAGAAGGACTCTCGTGCAAAGCGTTGAAAATGCTCTGATTCCAATCCAGTATGAAAGCGAGATCAACTGTTCACATAGTCGAACAGCAAAATTCATCTTATCAACCTATTCACCGTAGAGACGGAGCTCTTGTCCTGAATTGGCTACTCCCGACGAGCTGCTCATAACTTCAATTGACGTGTCGTCCCAATAATTGTCGATCGCGCTCTGAAATTATCAGTCCTCATTTGAAAATCCATGGAAACTTTGGGCACTCTCACGAACAACAAACTCGCTTCAACCTGCTCCTGACAGATTCTCATCAGACATATGCATACGCCCAGCCTCCCAAACGCCGAGCATCACTCATAAATCACCTCTTCCTCGCCTAGTATCCGCTCCGATGCACCAGCGCTCCACCTCTTCTAAACTGCACGCTCTCCCTCCGACTTAGCACCTGCAAAGCCCGATTCAATCCCATCTCACTGTAGCCCTTCCTCTCCACAAACTCCCTCCTCAGCGTCGCCAGACTAGCTGTGTATCCAATCGGCAGCCTCCTCCTCAACTCCTCCTCGACTTTGTGCACTTCGTTGACCAATTCCCCGTTTCCTCCCATACCTGCCATACCCGCGGCTCCTTCCCCTCCGGCACTCATCACAGCGTCCATGGTACTGCCCAAAAACAATCGGATAGCTTCGTCAACATGCTTCTCTGTTGCAATGGGTGCTAGCTCCATCTTCGCGAGAGACTCTGATATTCTCACTAGAGACTCCAGTTGTCGGACGGTGATGGGAATGGAGCTTCTCTGGTTAGCATCCGCTTCTGCTCTGGCGACCTGTCGTCGAATAGACACGAAATGACTTGAAAGCTTCTCCGCTGCCTCGGGACTCAATCTCGGCGCACATCTAGATTTGGCGTAGGAGATGTATCGTTTCATCTTCTCCACTGGAATTTCCGCGTGTACTTGTTCTTGCACTCCGTTACCACCCATGTGAATTCCCATGACGTGTCTGGCGATCGTCTCGTCACGATTCCTGTCATGGTCGTCTCGTACGATGAAGATTAAATCAAAACGGGAGAGGATGGTGGTCTGGAAGTCAATATTCTCGCCGGGACTCTTCATATCGTCGTATCGTCCAAAGATTGGATTAGCGGCTGCCAAAACACTTGTACGAGCGTTGAGGATTGTGGTGATTCCAGCTTTGGCGATGGAGATGGTCTGCTGTTCCATGGCTTCGTGGATTGCAACACGATCTTCGTCGCGCATCTTGTCGAACTCGTCGATACAGACTACACCGCCATCTGCAAGAACCATAGCACCTCCCTCTAGGTAGAACTCCCGAGTTGTGGTATCTCTCTGCACGGAAGCAGTGAGACCTGCTGCTGAGGAACCTTTGCCGGATGTGTAGACTGCAATGGGAGCGACCTTCTCGACGAACTTGAGCAGTTGGGACTTGGCCGTTCCTGGGTCTCCGAGTAACAGCACGTTGATGTCTCCACGAAGCTTCATACCATCCGGAAGAATCTTCTTGCTACCACCCATGAGCAGACATGTGATGGCCTTTTTGATGTCCGCGTTGCCGTAGATGGAGGGTGCAACACAGCTAGCGAAAAGAGAGTATAGGTCAGGCCGCCGGGACAACTCCAAGAACTCCTGCTCTTCCTCCTCGCTAAATTGAATGCCCATCCCACTTGAGGCGTTGCTGGAGCGATCTGTCTGCAGTCCCACAGCACGGAGGTATGGATTGCGAATGGCGACTGCGCCTCCTTTATTGTTCTTCTGGTTGTTGTAGATGCTGAAAACTCCCATCACCACACATCTCGTTCCCGGCACGACTCTGTTCGCGAGGTATCGGTCGGCGCTAACGAGGATGTGACGAGGCAATTCACCAACAGGTACATCGTCTGGTGCCTCCTGCAGCTTCAACACTTGCTGGTCGATGAATTGTGACTTTTCGTGGACGACAAAGTATGGATCAAGCGGGCATTTCTCTCCATCGTCTGGACCCTTCATACGTGCGCAGTTGCGAGGGAGCGACATTCCCGTGAAGCCTGAAGTGATGGGCATGTTCTGCTCATGTTGACAGTTTCGACATTGCATGTGGATGCTGGTGGCTTTGGAGGAGAGAGTGCTGGCGCCAATAACGATTCCCGGGATGCGCACGAGATGGGAGACATTGGTGGCTGTGAGACCTCGAATGGAGGTTTGCGAGACTGAGGAGTGGACGAGTAGCTGATGTTCGGGGAGGGACTTGGCGGCGGCGAGATCGTCTTCGGTGCGGGAGGGGTAGAGAATCTTTTGCGTGCATGTCTTGAGCGCCGCTTCGAACTGGAAAGGACAATGAATTGTTAGTCGAGGTGACGAGGAGAGCATCGGTTGGGGATGTCCCTCACGATTGGGATGAGGTCGCCAGGTTCGTTATTCAATCGATCTGCCAGCTCTTCGTTGTATGCAATCAGATGAGCAATGTCGATATCGCAGTAGTATTGCTTGGAGAGGACATTTTCGCGAATCTGGTCGCGGTAGATGAAGACGTCGTCGAGGTGGAAATCGAGCACAAAATCGACCAGCTGCTTCTGCGTCGCCTTGTTGCTGGACTGGCCGTCGACAGTGCTTTCGCCGAATAAGCTGAGAGAGTACGCGGACTGGCGATCCATCGCTGCGGGTATGGTAGGTGTTGGTGGAGCGGGAGGGATTTGTGTTTGCGCTGGCGGATGGAGGAAACGAAACGGAGCGAATTTGGCGCGACGCGAGAATACGCGTCAGACGGGTAAAARAGGTGGGACGATCTGGACGTCTTTCCACGAAAGACAGTGCGAGACTCACCCAAAGCGTGATACGATAGTCGGTATGAGATGAGTAGACGCTCCGTGGTGAGAGCGTCATTTCCATTCCCCAGATACTACTCCATGTTCTTTCTATCGCTACATGTCAAACATCTTCATTCACTTGACGCGTAAAGTGCTTGCAGGGATACTTGTCTTAGCAGCGGATCTAACCGCTGTCAACGTGGAGCTCGCGATCGACCCGGGAAGTTCAATAGGCTCAGCTTCAGGTACACATATTCTTTACTTAATCTACACCACACATTGACCTGCYGACCCGCCTTTCTGTCCACCTCATGAGGCGCACGGCAGGAAATCTCAGCATTTGCATCTCCCTCTCATGRCGTCGCCCTCATCATCCTCCCTCTTCTCGCCCGTCTTCGCCGAAACGCCGACGTCTCCATCATATCGCTCCGCATTTCCATTCCCAGCCCAGGATGTTGCCTCGCGTCAGCCCTCGGGACGCTATCAACCACGGAGAGGCAGTGCTGCGAGTATACAGTCTGTGGGATCGATAGGCGGCAGTCTAGACATATCGCGCCGGGGCAGCACTGTCCGCGRGACGAGTCAGAATGCCATTTCCACTCTCCTCCAGCCACCCATTGTCCGAACCGGTTTGGTCCCACATACACAAGCTTCAGCAGCAGCAGCGGGATATCGTGCGCCTACAACAAAAGACATCCCACCTGTAGCCTTGACAAATGTGCCCAGCGTGCCTCAGGAGAACTTCCGCGAATACTTGGCCAAGATTGGACCACTTTTCGATAGCTTGCACAGAGGGAGAGCGGAGCCCGAGCAGGCKCCATGGTTGAGAAAAGACAACGATTTGGCGCAGACGGATCGCTTTGCGGAGGCATTGCAGAGGAAGGTCAGCTCGGCGAGGAACAGTACACCCAGCTCACCCGCCGCTTCGAGATATGGAGATGTCTCGCCTCTCTCACCAGCCGAACCACCGATGAAAAGGAGATCGTCAGGACAAGTAAGACGAAATCGCAACGAGCCCACTCCATTATCAACCATCCCGGGCGTGTACTTCGATGACCAGTTCCACCTGGAGAACCCGCGGACGTTTGACGTTGTCAGCGAGAATGCCGAAATTGTGCGCCCGCCACCTGGTACGCCTATCGTTGAACAAAAGGCTGCAAATGGCTCCGCGCTTCCTCCTAGAAAAGCTCTAGCCACGAATGCCATCTTACAGGAGAAGCTCAGTTGGTACATGGACACAGTGGAGGTACACCTCATCAACAGCATCAGTACCGCTAGTAGCGGCTTCTTCGCTGCTCTTGGATCGTTGAAGGAATTACAAACAGAGGCCGAGGAGAGTGTGGCCAAGATTCAGAGCTTACGGGAGGACCTACGCAGACTGGACAAAGAGGTAGCAGTTTCGGGCCTGGAGGTGGCAGCAAAACGTAGGCGTAGAGAGAATGTTGGGAAGCTGGGCCGTGCAACAGCACAAGTGCAAAGCGTAGTGGAGAACGTCAAGAAAGCAGACAGCTTGGTAGACGAGGGTGCTTACGATGCTGCAGCAGATCAAATGGACCTTGTGGGAAGACTGGTCTGCGGAAAGTCAGAAGTGGGCGAGAAAGATCAAGAGCTGATCGACCTCCGCCCGCTGAAAGCTCTGCAAGGACTGGATTCTGGTCTACAGGAACTCCAGCTGCGAATCGGCACGGGTTTTGCACATCGCTTCACTACCATCCTGATCGACGACCTTCGTGCTCATGTGAAGAACGTTTCCAATTCGGACACTCTCAAGCGCTGGTCGCGCCAACGAGGAGTTCCACCGACATACATGGAGACATCTCCCCAACTTCGTGCAGATCTCTTATCAGCTTTGAACGGCCTTGCCAGAGCAGGGCATACAGCACCTGCGACAGCTACATACCGCGAAGCTGTSAACAAAGAGATGAAGACTCTCATCAGAAAATTTCTTCCTAGCAGTAGCGACGATGATGCAGATTCGATGATCTCTACTTCTACAAGGGGTGGCAGGAGCGCCATGAGCCAGCAGGAGAAAAGCAGTATCCTCGCTCGGAATCTACGCGCTCTCGATCCTGAAGATGCTGAGAAGCTTCTGGTGGGTGTATATACCTCTGTTGGGGAAGCTCTGCGACGGGTGTCAACGCAGACAAAGATCTTGCTAGATGTGACCAGCAGTGTTGCGCCTCCGGATCCGACTTCGCCACGCCGTGCTGGGACACCGCTCGCAAATGAGACCACGCCCAAGATCACTGTTCAGGAGGAACTGTCTCAAACTTTGGACATGTCCTCTCTTCTCGGTGTGGCAGTCGACACTGCCCAAACACAAATCACCCGGATCCTGAAGGTGCGGAATGAACAGAGTATCCGCCTACCTCTTCCTCTATTCCTGAGATACTTTCGTCTMAATCGACTCTTCGCAGACGAGTGCGAAGCAGTCTCGGGTCGCGGCGGGAACGTCCTGAAAGGCATCATCAACGCACAAATATCTGGCTTCGTGCAGGTTTTGGGCACCTCCGAGACCGAACGAATTGCAGGGGTTCTAGACGCGGACCTTTGGAACGCAGAAGACTTCACCCCAGAAGACGACAATCTGCTTCAACGAATCCTCTGCAGCGAGAAAGCGGATCCCCCAGAATGGACAAATGCCACAATACCCCTATGGGAAGATGCCAATGTCCAGCTTTCACACACAACCACCAACGGCAGCACAGAGACGCCCAAAGCGCGCCCTGCAAAGATTGGCGAGGAATCTTATGCGCTGCCCAAATCTGCCATTGCCCTCCTGCCTACAATATCCACCTTCCTCAGCCTCACCACTGACTTCCACTCGAGCATCACACCGCAAACAACCACGTCCCTCCTTGAATCCCTCAAGACATTCAACTCCCGCTCCTGCCAACTCATTCTCGGCGCTGGCGCCACCCGTTCTGCAGGCTTGAAGAACATTACTACCAAACACCTCGCTCTGGCCTTTCAATCTCTGGCATTTCTTCTCGCTCTCCTCTCTCCGATTCGAAGTTGTGTTCTACGACACGGAGGAAGCGGAATGACGCACGAGTTCGAAAAATTCGAACGCCTTGTCCGCGAACACCAAAGTGGCATCCGGGATAAGTTGGTGGAGATCATGGTCACTCGAAGCGGAGCGCACGTGAAAGCTATGCAGCTTATAGACTTTGACAAACAAGATGGGAAAGAAGGCGAAGGGCTGAGCCCGTACATGGAAACATTGACGAAGGAATCTCTGACACTGCACAGAGTTCTCGGGAGATATCTCAGCAACATGGAAGTTGGAGTCATCATGGGCAGAATTCGAGACGGATATCGCGAACAATGGGTCAAAGCGTTCCGGGAAGTGGGCATCAAGACGCAAGCTGGAAAGGAGAAGCTGGGACGAGATGCGGGAGGACTGGAGAGATTGGGCAAAGTCGAGGGGTTTGATAGTGTGGGGAAGGAAGTCAAAGAAGTTGTGGAGGGGCGAGAGGTCAAAGCTGTCAAAGAGACCAAAGTTGTTGAGAAGAAGGAAAAGGAAAAGGAAAGCGAGGTGGAGGTTATGTTTGAGGCTGAGGAGGAAGTCAAGGATGATAATGAAGGTGTGAAGAAGTAGACAATACAATGATKTTGTTTTCCTCTCGGGAGCTTCTCCTGCTCTTCTCCTTGCTATCCTTGTTCCGTACCGGATGAAAAGATTTTACGACTGGAGTTAGCCTCATCGATTTCTGGACGCTGGAGATTGTGCTGGCTCACTTGCATGCGCTGGGAGTGTGTGTCAGATGAATTAATCGAGCCAAAGTCAACAAACTTCACAAGACAAGAAAGGACATGAAAGTAACTGAATAGTTCACGTGAAAGAAAAGAGAGAGACTTGAGGATCTTGAAACTTGATTGTCTCACACGGTACTTCTCTATACATTATCTGCCATGATATCCTGGAATCAACACCCAGCTTTTACTCTTCAAGCCATGTCTCCGATCAAGCCGCTTTGAGCCGCATACTAAACAAGATGGGTATACGCAAATGAAACACCGAAAGTAGCAAAGGTGGAAAATCGAAAAGGCTCAAGGAAAACAGTTGATGGACTTGAAGTTGATGACAGGATCGGGATCAGGAGATCAAGATGATTCAAGAATCCCAGATGGCGCCGAAAGCAGCAACACCGCGCGTCTCCATGGCGTAGACAACCTTCTGCGTGAGAATTGGGTTGCTGATGATGACGACGGCCTCGGCATTGAACTCCTTGTAGGCTGCGTAAGCAAGACCGACGATATCGGTGCGGCCGTGGAAGGTGTCGTAGATGACGGCGTCGGGGTCGGAGCGGCGAACGGCGTCGTTGATTTTTTTGCCAAAGGATTCCTCGGGTGAGCGAACCGTCCATACAATGCGGCAGGCCCATTCGGGGTGGCACTGAAAGAAGGAAAGAGTAGGACCAATTCCAGTACCCGTGGCCATGACGACGACGCGGCGGATGATGAGTGCGACTCCCATGACGCCCATGGTGGGAGCCCCGCGGGAGTAGAGGTACTTGGGCGGGTTGTCGACGAGCTTGGTGGTCCAGTCTCCGTTCTTTGCGATCAGGACTGAGTAGCCGCGCTTKCCATCCTCGTTTGGGATTGAGGCGAAGCCGTGGTTCTCAAAGAGAGGCTTGGTCGAGAAGCGAACACCCTTGCAGGTTGGCATGAGCTTATCCTCGTGGATATTCAGAAGCATGGAGTGATCCGAGATCTTCTCCACGTCGTACGTGACCTTGTGGAGACGAAGCCAAGGGTAGACKAGCAGGCACATGACGACGACGAGGAACCAAAAGGATGGCGTCTTGACCATGATGACTCCCCAGGCGGTGCCGGTGGCGTGTGCCTTGGCCCAGATGAGGATTCCGGTCTGCGTGATGATGATGCAAACAGCCACGTATCCGGCATAGCGATGCGTCCATTCCCACTGGTTGTGGTACTTGGATCGGATCGTGGGATAGGCCAAGCCGATAAGCACGCAAAAGATGAAGAGCATGATCGCAACGGTGATCCTGAAAGCGTTTTGAATGCCTTCCGGTCCCTCGTAGTTGCAGAGGATGAGAACCGTGAAGCAGATGTACCACAGGAAGGCGCTTACACCGCATGCCGAGTGGATTCCGCCGTAGCTATAGATCTTGGCGGCATGGCGCCTGATGGCGAGAGGCCAGGTCAGCGGGATGCTGATGACGATCCTGAAGAGCATGTTGATGAAGTGCWCATGGCGGGCGACGGAGGTGACCACGATGTTGACGCCCACGGCAGTGGCAGCCATCTCGTAGCTGAAGAAGCCAGGATGGACGATGTTGATGCCGCCGAAAGCGCACATGGTGATGATGTTGATGAGGAAGACGACGGCAAAAAGTCGACGGTACGCTGAGAAGAACCCGTAACGGATCTTGTTGTAGAGTTCGGGGTTCTTCGACTTTGGCAGGGGGTATGCAGCGATGTAAGCGTCTGCCCGAGCCTTGTCGTAGACCCGGCGGGTGTCGAGTTCGACGATGCCATTGTCCCTGGAAGCCACGGTTTCGGTGGATTGCTCGCCGTCCTGCTTTACAACAACACGGTAGGTGCCTGGCCCTCGCGCGTGGAGAGCCTCCACGGCTTGGGCTGGAAGCTGGACGGAAGAGGTGGTGCTGCGCCTGCTATCGACACGGGTGAGAGTGGATGCGGACGAGGCGGGAAGAAGGGATTGCAGAGGGTACGTGTCGTTTGCATCCGACTCGGGATGGTGGTGAGCGAGAGGCGGGCTGGCTAGAGAGATGTTGATGAAGGTGTCCTCGTCAGGCACGTCGGTGATGCGCGAATTGATTGGTTGTGGGACAGCCGCGTTGGCGCCCGAAGTGGTGGTGGTGTGCTCCATGCTTTGCGGCGTGAGGGGAGATGAGGTCGAGCTTACAGGTAAGGAAGGTGTGGCGTTGATGGGTCGAGGAGCCACGATAATGGTAGGCTGTGAGTCGTCGAGGATCAAGAACGCTAGGCTCGAGTCGTTTGTTCGATTTGCGAGTCTCTAGCGATGCAACGATAAAGCGATCTGTCCAGCCAGTGGAGCAGTTGTGTAAGTTGTGTGTAAGTTGTATGTGGAGTAGACCAATGCAAAGCGGGATGGAGAATGGAACCAGACGAGACGAGACGGCGAGCGGCYTAAGTGCAGGACAAGGTGGTTCCGGCCCGACTTCGGCGCTTCCCAAACCGGAAGGAGCAGTGAATGAAAGACTCGAACAAGGACATTGTTGGACCGTCGTCCATTGTGTCCCAACGATGATGACCCCACACATCAATGGAACTGCGCTAATGACGAGGACAATGCTTCATTCAGCAACCAATTCCGGATCTGGTATGGTAAACAAAAAGAGTAGGACAAAACCATCTTCACCAAAATGAGAGTAGATTGCTGTGCTTTGTTGAGGCCAGAGCTACCTCCCGAGGTCATTACAGGAGGCGTTGTGTCTTTTCCTTGTCCTCGCTTCGGAGAGATGGCCACACGCCACGCTTTGGCGGATCGCAATAGCGATGAGCTACCTTGGATACCAACCTGGGATTGAGACTGCGTGGCCAATATACGATGCTGCACAAGCTAGTCGCCTTTCTGCTTCTCCAAGGTCCGAACCGTCCTCTCGGCTTGTCAACTTTCAAATTTCGGACAAGCTCTACCTCGCACGTATCAGAGAAGATGTGAAGCTATTGTACACTGTCTGTCATTGGGATGCAGATTGGCTGCTGGATGATATTTCGAAACGTCAGCGGTGGTTTGATGAAGTGGCCCACACTCTCTTGAAAAACAGTCTCATTGCAGGCAGCGAGCGATCTCATATTCTGCGTGTGTTACTCTGCAGCAAGACCTCCGATGAGAAAACTTTGCGTAGAGCATAGCAAGAAAACTGGATGTAACCAATAAGCAGTTTCCATTTCTTGGAATCCTCGCAWTATAAAAACAAACTGAGTTGCCTTTAAGACACCAGCCGGAGCGTAGCAGAAGGATGGGGGTGAAGCCTTTGCCGATTCATTTACCTTCGCTCACACGACGATATCTAACTACCTTGCTATTTCAACACCCGAGAAACACCAAACCAGAGCTGGGGTTGCAATCGAGACGAACAAACGCCTTCAATTCATGTCTCAGACCTCACTTGCACTTTCACGTTGTGCTGGACCTACTGTGCGGACACCTCGAGCATATTTCCCAGTCAATCTCCTTGCGCATTCTCGAGTGTCTTGGAAGCTAGATCACCGTAGGATATCCTTTGGCCTCGATTCAAACTCTCGGCCATTCTTCGAGTCGTCTTCTTTGTTGATTTGGGCACTCGAGAGCCTCCAGCTGCAGAACAAGCACCTTGTGCTCGAAAATAGGCCCTTGTTGTTTCTTAACAACGCATTTCATTCATGCACTATATCCCATTGTGTCTCCGCATTGTTGCAGATCGATCAACGCGAAACAAACCCATCACTTACACGCACTTCCCACGGAGTCGCTGCCTACATAACCACGGGCTGGTCTTGATTCCAGATACTTCTTCACAACCATTCACCTTCAAGCTCTCTCAACTGCAATCAATTCAATCGACTGGTTCGAATCTTTGATCAACGCTTTTCACTGCAATCCAACTCATATCACAAAGATCTTGAGCTCATCAAGCTACAAAACGGCTTCCTCCATCAAAATTAAACCTACCAGGTACGTTTCCCTTCCTTCTGTGCGGTTGTTCACACGTGGAAGTCGCTCCCGCTTCAGATAGCGGGCCCACTTTTCATGTGCATCAAGACAACGTGCTCAAGGACTCCCTACCCTATACAACACAACACATTGCTAACTTTGCGCTCTAGAAACCTGAGTTCTTCTCCAACCTACCTCAACCCTACACCAACCATCAGCATGGCCATTGGTACATTCACCCTTGAAGGGGAGTGCCCTGACATCTGCTCTTGGACTCTTTTCAGCGGCGAATATGACGAGCAGCGTCCGGTCCTGATCGATGCCGTCAACCCATCTCGCTTCATCACCAAGGCCACTGCCATTCGGATCGTTGCATCTCTGGCTGGCGCCTTTCGACCGGATAGCACCGTCTGTCTCCATCTCGTCAACGATATCACCTATCCTCTCCTGTACCTTGCCATCCTCGCTTCCAATGCGCGCTGGGTCGGAACGAACACTGCTTACACTGCTGCTGAACTTACCCACATCTTCAAGACTTCCAACGCCGAATACGTCGTCACAGACACCGAGCACCTCGACGCGGCCCGTTCTGCTGTACTTGAAAGCGGTACTGATGCTGAGATCATTCTGTGGTCCGACGTTCTGGTCAACCAGKATAGCCTTCCGATACTGGTCAAGCCGTCTGAGAAGCSCCGAGCATCCCTGAGCCAGCGAACTGTCCACGACTTGCAACACAACGGCACTCTTGAGACTCTCACGTCCGCTCTCCGATGCATCAATGTCAACTCCACGGCCACTCTCATGGGAACAAGCGGTACGACGGGTCTACCAAAGATGGCCGCGCGGACTCACAAGGCGCACGTTCTCGAATCATTTGCCATGGAAGACAATAACTCGGCCAAGCCTTACCCGGTCATCCGTCTATTCTGCACGCCTATCTTTCACGCCTTCTCCTCTCCGGACATGCTTATCAATGCTCTCCGCTCTGGTCACATGAGCTACTTCATGAAGCGCTTCGACCTTGTCGTTTTCTCGGATAAGATCGCAGAGTATGGCATCACAGAGATTTACGCTCCTCCTCCAATCCTTGCTGCATTACACAACAAGCCTGATACTCATCTGCAGATCCAGTCTCTCCGTGGAATCTACAGTGGAGGTGCGCCACTCAGTTTTGAACTTCGCCTCCGCTTCCTCAGCATCTTCAAGGACAACCCAACCCCACCACACATCCGTATGGTCTATGGAATGACGGAGGGCGGATGGTTCAGCAGCTTCAAATATCCTGTGAATGACGCGACCGGCTCTGTGGGCCATCTCATCCCGGGTTACAAAATGAAAATGCTTACCACCGGTGAGCATGCTTCGACACTGGACGACGGAACTGCAGTGGGGGTACTTTACATCAAAGGCCCTTATCTCATGACCGGCTACTTGGGCAATCCTAAAGCTACAACCGACGCTTTCGACGAAAACGGCTGGTTGGAGACTGGCGACATCGGCTACATCCGTGACTCCAAAATCTACCTCGTGGACCGTGCTAAGGATCTCATCAAGTGGAATGGATGGCAGATTTCTCCGGCAGAGGTAGAGGATGCCCTTCTTAAATCCAGCGACGTCACGGATGCTGCGGTTATCGGTGTGGACCACGATCTCAAGGAGCATCCGCTCGCCTTTGTGGTTCGTTCCAATGACACTGTCACCGTGGAATCACTCAAGGCTTTCCTCTACACCTGTCTGACGAAGTACAAGGTCACCAGCTTGGAGATCATCTTTGTCGAGCCTGATTACATCCCCAAATCCACCACCGGCAAAATCCTGAAAAAGGAGCTGCGGAAGAGCCCCTTGGTTGTCAATCGCTAATAAATCCGCGTACAACTTTCGACTTGTGGGTGGAACTTGTTCACGGGTAGTCGATTAGAGTGAATCTACAGGTACAAGGCGGGCCTTGAATCTGTACATTTAGCACGGCGTTGGGGCCTATTTCAAACGAGATAGCATAATAATAATAGACATCCACAAGAGTGGATCGTTGCATCATCACAATAAAACCTTCCACATCAATTGAACTCTCAAAACGTTTCCCCTGTTTCTACATTGTAGATTGGGTCTTTAGTCTGAAAAGCAGGTACCATGTCTTTTGCCATGTTTGTAGGTTTCCAAAGTGCATATGAAGTAACACACAGTCCGAAGTCAATCAGACCCAACGAAAATTAACTCCCAAATTTCGGGGAGGAGCAGAGAGACAAAGGCTACAGCTATCCCCTCACCAGATGGATCAATGACTACGCTCGCCGGCAGGAAGCCGTGAAATTAAAAAGGTAGAGGAAGGATGGAGTGGTATCGATTTGAACAAAGATAGGATTGCGGAGACGAGCAGAACAAAGGTCTACCTCTCCCTCAATCGATCTGTCGATGACCACGCTCGCACGCAGATAGCTAAGATCATGAAAGTGAAACATGACGTGGAGAGTCTGATACGCCTTCGAGCAGGGCAGTAATTTGATATCCCTTTGTAGTGTACTGACGCACAAAGAGAAGAAACCTTGTCAGACATCTCATCGAATATTCTTTCGGCGTGAGGGAGTCGTTGCGCTTGCCTGACTAAGATCTCTTACCGAAGCGGTGAACTATTGGTTGAGTTCTAGTATAGGCTGTTAGTCGGTAGACTCTGCAAGACATTTTTGACCAACGAGCAAGTTGCGGGTATCCTTCTGTCTTGACGAATACAGATTATGTTCTCACAGGCAGACATATGCAAGTTGTGGTCCTTAAAATCCCGTTGTGTGCTGATACTCGATGACAGGCCTCGCGGATCTCTTGAACCTGTGGAAGACCTTTCGATCTCAACGGAGGACATGGCATAGCCTGATGTATCCACTTCGTCGCTACAGGACCGTATATAGCCGTGATCAACCTGACAGCGTGTGAGAACTGGACGGCCTCCAATAACTCGCTTCATGGTGAACACTTCGAAGTTCTCGTCTATCAGGTCAGTGCAGTGCCCGCTTTAGCTCGATCTCTCTTCTTCGATGCTGGCTTTCATGAGGCCAGAGGGAGTATAGCTGGTTTCGTCTTCTACGGGACGGTGGAAGCATCGCCGGAGTCGGAGATAACATCAGCGAMTTAAAGCTTAACAGGCTCATCTCCAATGCACTCTGCTGCGCGTACGGAGTTTCCTGCTATGGCATTGCATCCATACATCAGCTGCCTCGCAATCTTTGGAACTTCTTTGTCCTGTCGGATCCCGCAAGCTTGTTGCAGGAGACAGGATAGCGAATAGAGCATCATTCGCGAAAGTAATTCTGAGCGCGAGGATCAGATGCAGCGGGCGGGACGTGGGCTTTGGCCACGAGATCTTTGACGACGTCCAACATGAATTTCCCATCTTCTCGATCGAGTTTCTTTTCGACGGTTGAAGCATAGCCGCGCTGGTATATACCAGCCTCAATGGGGTCGGAATCATACCGATCGCTACTCTGTCGAGATATGTGTCAGGCAAGAGGCAGAAGTCCAGTACGCACCCAGCTTGGAAATGGCAGAAGTTGGCGAAGCGAGCCAGTTGATCAGGAGGTCTCGCGCCGTGTCGACTTTGGCAATCCTGGCAACCACACCTTGCAATATTGAGCTTTCCGGGCTGATAATCTTAGAAGTTGAACAGGTCGTCGATGGCATCCCCTCCTTTCTTACGCTTCTTCTTGCTTGTTTTCGCAGAGGTCTCCTTGACTCGTTTCGTTCCAGCCTTGGGTTTAGGTAATACTGCTTCCTGTGCAGGGATTGCAGCATCCATGTCACCATCATCTCGCTGTATGACTTCTCCCTGGTCCTCTCGCGCGGAATCCAGACTTCTCGTTACGGCACCGTCTACACCCCACTCCTCCCTCCCGAACTCCTGAAGCACCTTCTCAACTTCAATCTGACCCAGATCCTCCAGCCGTGCCGTAACACCCACGATCTGACATACTTCAGAAAGTACAGCAAGCAGCACGAGTCCTAGAACCGAGAATCTTCCATCTGCGATTAGTTGAGAGAAGGCATGCTGCCATTTCGATACCATGACTTCCTGCCAGAAGACTAGACGCTTCTCTGTATTGGAGATGATTCGGGCATCGTTGACCTTCTTCTTCGCACGGCCGAGGTTGGTAGTCGGAACTTCGTTCAGTGAGCTTATATCTGCACAGAGCGAGTCGATCTGATGGCGGAAGGTGGAGAATTGCCGCCACCAGATACTGCGACGATGTTGATTCTTGTTCCGGTGGTTGAAGAGATGGATGAGATCTGAGAGATGTTGGAGGGACTTTTGACTGTCTGTGGAAATGCTGATGTCTTGATCGGCGGCCATGATCTTTTAAAGGCTAGAAGATGGACAGAGATGTGTATTGTGCGTTCAACCTGACATTTTCCTATACCAAGTCTGGGAATCCGATTTTGTCATCAGCTTCATCGGATTGAAAGCTAGTGGGGCGGTTGAGGTTATCGTAGAATGCTTGACAAGTGAGCGCCACTTGATCTCGGTGTGCTTGCTTTTTCCGGAGCGGTTCACTTCTTCGTTCTTTCATGTGCTAGTGATCTACAGAGCATCAAAATGTGAAAGGTGAGGTGATGGATGGTTGGGCCGACAGATCCGAAAGCTTCCCGCCGACGTGGCCCCACCCCACTCTTTGCACGAGCACAGCATCAGCACCTTCACAGAAGGCTTATCTTTGTGAGCGAAGTACCTTATGGCATGCTATAGATACAGTTGATATCAATATATAGCATTCATTAGCATACCTTCCTCAGCCACGAGCTATATGCGATTGCACATGACTTTTGAACTTCGACCCGCACGTCCCGACTCCCGAAGCGATCTTGTGATCACCAGCATCATCCCACCAAAATCATCCCGCCTTCGCTTTATCTATCTTCCACACGTACCCCTCTGTAAGTACCGCTGGCTCTCTTGTTTTTGGGACTTATCATACTCCCTATGAGAGGAAGGAGTAGTGGAGTGACTACGTGTACTTCAGTGGTTCTTACTCCAGTGTAGACTCTGTACATTACATCAACATACGCATTATCCACCATCCACACCAATATATCATTTCATCTCCAGGCTCATCGCGACTTCGCACCATGGTCTAGACTTCTTGTTGCCGTTGCCGAGCAGCTCGTACAAAGACAGCGACGATGGAGCAAAAACGCGCGCCAGAGTACGTGTTGGAGGTCATCGCAGATAGATCCACGGTTAAGGACGTCGTCAAAGGTACGCAAAAAGAATACCACACCATACCGTACCTCCTAGACACTAACAAATATCCACAAGGTGTTGTACACGCAATCTTCTTCCACCGCCTCTTCAACCCCCTCTATCCAGCAACCCATGACGTCCTCGACATCACCCTCCCATACGTCTCCGACCCCGACATCGAAGCCCTGATAGAACAACGCACAAACTCCCTCATCCGACAACTAGACGTCGCCACCAATCAATCATCCCCACAATACGGCTCCAAAGCCTCCCGCGGCCAAGTCGTCGTGCAATACCTAGAAAAGAAGCGTCGCAAAGGCTGGTTCGTCGCGAAAGCAGACGAGGAAACCGTCTSGGAAACATGGGTGATTGACATCACCTTGACATCTGCTAGGAGTGAGCCAGAGGCCGCGCGGAATCGAAGGCAGATCGAAAATGGTTTGCAGAAAGCTGCCATGAAGATTTTGACTTTTGTTAATGAGGATCGGAATCATATCCCGCCGATTACATCAAATGAGACGAACCCGTTTCCTTATCAGGTGTTGGTCAATCCGAAGAGTGATGGCTGGGGGACTAAGATGGGGATATTCTAAGAGACGGGGATGTGAGGATATGTGGTCATTTTCATTAGGAGAGGGTGCATCGCCTCGCAAGAGGCAGCGCTGGTGCCAGCTTTGCATATTGAGCTCGGGAACGGTGTTTGGCGCTGGCGCTTCTTTCGGTCTATCTGGACTGTTTCAACGGTTTCATGGCGATTGCCATTATGACTTTGCATGTGCAACGAACGTACGCACGGCTTTTGACATTGCTTTTAAAGCCTCGAAGGAGGCATGTGGTTCTCTATGATATCGACTTTTTAAGCTATGTGCTCGTACAAAAGCCATTGACACATTCATATCCACATCCTCAAGCAAACCGCTTCAGAGGTCGTGTACTCCTTTTGCATCAGCAATAGAGGCTGCTTGGGAGAAGAACGCTGMATAAAGGTATTCGCTAAGAAAAGCTGACAATGGTTCCAYGACAGGCAGCGTAAAAGTTCTTGACAAGGTCTCTCGTCTTTTTGCTGTCTCCTCTGACCGAGATGACTGCTTGCACAAATCTCCGCTTTTCGGCTTCCCCAACGTCGGTGCCAACTATGGCTGGCAGCGCATCGCTGGAGAGCGCCGCGTCCAACCAGCCCTTAGTCTGTGGCCGCGTCTGAATGAGGGCTTTGAGAGGTTCACACAACTGGTCAAGCTCGGAGCGCTGACCACGCCCGACGATCTGGTTGGCGAGCGCCTGACACAGCGTTGGACCATAACCCGCTACGACCTGCTCCAAGCGAGCACGTACAGTCGCATCAGCTGGCTGCGGTGAAGGCTTGATGATCTTAAACCAGAACTCGGCCGCAGATCGTTTCGGTAGGAGATCCGCGCCGTCGATAGCCTTGATCACGAAGTCCAGGATAGGCGGGACGAGGTCACCGGATGGTGAAGACATATCCAGAAGGATGTGGGTATATCGTGGTATCATGCGATGGAATACCTCGATACAAGCTTGCGCAATGCCGGGATCTTGACTTGGCTCTGCGAGGCCTTGGATCAGGGCACACGCTTTCCGATACGCACGATCGACTTCGGCGTCGATGTGTACGATGCCCCTTCTAGAGTGCTGTACTATCAGCGTAGACGTTATTGCGAGGACGGACTCAATCTGCGGTGTGGTGAGCGTGCACTGTTCCAGAAATCCGACGGTCACTGCCGGRGGGAAGACAAATGGTCCAGGCTCGTGTTCGGTGAATCCCTGTTTGAGAACCTGACAGACTGCATCGACTGCCTCGCCCGAACCAGGGAAGAGCTGTAAGACCGCGTAGCAGGTGTTGACCACACGCAGTTGTATGTCTTGCCCCTCTTGGCTCTTCCAGAAGTTATCAGTGACCGCTGATGGCTTGGTGCTGTCCTCGTAAAGGTCGATTGGGAAATCATCGGGTGTTTGTAAGCTCTTGCCAATGCTAGCTAGACATTGAATCGCTGAAACGCCAATCTCGTGTGCCTTTTCCGCGTCGGATTGTCCAGCCATCTTTTTGGCGTTGCCAACCATCCCGTCGACAATGTCGAGAAGAGCGGACAGAGGTTGCGCCTTTGCAATCTCTGGCTGAATAGCCTKGACGATTGCGGCGATGGCACCGATTACCTTTTCATTGGTGAAAGGTTCACTCGTTGGCCCGGCGGCGAAGCGATTGTACTGCGCGATAAAGCTTTGCACCTCGCCCGTAAGGCTGTTCCGGCATGCAGAGCATAAGGCGGCAATCGACTTTGAGGCGCTCAGATATAGACCATGGTTCTCCAACGACCCGAACAAGAACCTCAGCGTATCGGGCAGGAAGTGCGGGTGGCGTTCAATGTACTGACCATATGTACCCAGCACATCGATTGCAGTCCGGCGTGTTTGCGTGGGAATGGAAAGATTGAAGTCGGCAATGTCGCGAAACAGAGTCGAACCGAAGAGCTGGGCGAGATGTGGTTCGGCGCCTGATTCCTCGAGTGCATTATCCCCAAGGGCATTGGCACAGAACAAGGCCGCTTCTAAGCTTTGCCACTCTTGAGATGCCAGAGAATCCATTGCGATTGTGATGAACTGCTCGAGCATTTGATCCCCTAGACGGATGTAGATAGAAAGCATGAGATCGGATGTGTCTGTTCGAAATTCGCGAAAAGCCTCCGTCTCTGCATCGGTCCAGTTCTGTGACGCTTCAGGAGAGGGTGTCTTGAGTTTGGAGAGTAAGACGCGAGTGAGGTTTATGCACAATGCCTTGTCATGCTGCAGCCAAGGAGGAAGGGAGCTGTCCTCCTCGCGCGAGTGCACGATATCGTTGACATACTCAATGTACGTATTCCAGAACTCGATACTCAAAGCTGACACCTCGTCATCATCACCGGGGATTCCCGGACTCTCCAGTATGGCAAAAAGAAGCTGCATTATCGCGCGCGAGCCGTATTCGTCATCGGTCTGCTCGACCACATGTTGTATGTTGGCGACCCCGTACGCAATGACGAGCTGAGCGACTTGCAAAACTTCCGGATCGCCATCTCGTAGAGCTGCCAGCATGCGCGGGTGCGCACTTTGGTACATGGTTACCGCCAGAAGTTCCATGTGCTGCGGCTGGAAGAAGCTTGTGTAGCTTTCCAGAATGTCTCTAATCACATCCATAGCCTCCCCGCGAATGTCATCCTCGTCGTTCAGGAGTGGGAAGACGTCTGCTACAAGCCGACGGAGATGTTGCAATGCCGCTGGCTTTGCAGGCCACATTGGCTGTGCATAGTTGACCCAATTTAGAAACGATGCGAGTGCCTGGCCTTTCAGGGAGACAAATTCCGGGGTCGCTGAAAGTCTCAGGGCATGGTGCATGATCTTGCTGGCGTCATTAACGAGAATTTCCATTTGTTGATGTATCAGTGCGTTGGACGGAGTAGTGCTGTCCAGCGTGGTCGCATCTGTAGCTAGTGAGCTCGAAAGCCACAACAGAGTTGCAATTTGAGACTCTGACATTAGCGGCAGAAATTGTGATATGGCATCGTGGGCGGCGGAAAGTTGATCCTCGGGTACAGCATCGCCGCGGTGGAACGATGCGGCCAGATGCAAAAGAGGTCGCGTCCAGGGGATCGGGGACCTCAGAAAGAAWGTTGCAAGTGTGGCACACAGCTTTTTGCGAACCATCTGGCCCTCTCCAGCCCGGTCAATTTGCGCCTGTTCTGTCAGCACGTGCAAGAACATTGCCATCGCAATGGGGAAGTGAGTACGCACCGTCCAGGAAAGCAACCTCATCATCACCGTCTGCACTGCTGCCGCATCAAGCTTTGACCTATGTAGCACAATGAGCGGAGATTCTCACCATCCACTCTTCTCAAGGTCGAAACACTGACCCATCATTGTTGAGTTTGACTTGAAATGTCAAGGCTCCGAAGAATCGGACCTTTTGATCTTGACTCCCAAGGAGAGCGTCGGCAATCTGCCATCCTTCATGCGAGCGCTGGATGGCTTTGAGATGATCATCGATTGTTGCGAGGACTCTGGGGTTGCCCGGGGTGTAGAAGCGCTGGACAAGCTATCTCGCGTCAGCACGGAGCAATAAACAACAGCAGCAATAGGTCGCATGATGGAGTGCATTTCTTGATGCACTTAGCCAAACAATTTCAATCGCGAAATACAGCGTCTCTGCATCTGAAGTCGTGCTTGCATAGCCAAAGGCCCGCTTGCGCTACAATCTCGCCAAGATTGACTCGCTATCAACGCGCGAGCGCCAGGATTTTCAAAGGGGTGTAGAAGCCTCAGATACATAGAGACGCTGTATGATCGCACGTTAGCAAGACTTACTTGTTCGACCTCTGCCACATTTGTGGGCGCCGTAATGTTGTCCATCATGGCGGGTCACTTCATTGTAGAGCTTCGTCCATCACGCAGTGGGTATATGACGGGGCAACTTTGAGCTGGCCTTTTGTTTGTTTGCTGGTTCGTTGTCGAGTAAAAAGTCTGAAGTTGGTGACGAAGATGTTTGGAGGATGTTTGGGAGGCGCCTAAAATTGCCCCACCATCCCCATCCCGCGCGGTTCAGCTTTCACATGCACGAGACAAACAAAGACAGCGAAGGCGCAAGCGTTTCGAGTGACTGACGTGAGTTGGACATCTATCTAAAATGCTGGCCCGCACAAATTCTCAAACGCCGATTCTCGTTCCCAGTGAACACAAGAGATTCCTTGAGCAAACGTGGTATCGTAGAAACGCCTCCCAAATGCAAGTATCTAGACTCCAGGCGTCTCCCAGAAGAAACACCGTGATGATGTTGTGAACATGACCCACAGACACCTCGCTGAACATAAAATCAAAAACAAACGGGGATTGCTCTAAAACATGCCGAAACAGAGCAACGATAAATTCAATGAAGCTTCAACATGCGTCGTAAATCGTCCTCCATGGAGAGAATGTCTCGCGAGCCGCCAGTCCGAGGAGTATTCGTCGAAGTGGGCTGATCGGGATATCCTTGATGTACATGAATCGGAATCGGAGCAGTAGCAGAGGGGTGGGAGTCTTTGGAAGCAGGTCGAAATGGTGGCATTTCAGCAGGGGCTGAGGCTCGAATTTGTTCGTCTAGGTATGAGCGTGCAACCGCGTTGTGGTTGTAGTCTCCTGACTGCGGGTGTRGRTYKMRGKGSWSGYCG